TAGTGAAAGGTGTCAGATGTCAGGCACCTGTTGGCTTTGTATTAAAAGTTTTGAAGGAAATGACATTCCTTAGCTTTTTAAAAAGTGGGGCACCCGGGTGGCTCAGTCAACTAAGCGTCTACTTTCAGCTTCGGTCATGATCTTGGGGTCCTGGGGTCAAGCCCTATGTCAGGCTCCCTGCTCAGTGGGGAGCCTGCTTCTCGCTCTCCCTCTGCTGCTCCCTCTGCTTGTGCTCTCTCTGTCAAATAAATAAATAGGATCTTTAAAAAAAAAATACACTAACTTGTAACTCAAACTTGGATAGTTCTTCAAGGTCGATACATCAGATTCACGCTTGAGGCGGTAACTTGATCATCTGTTCCTGTAGGGAGAGCTAGGAGGTATTGTACAATAGTAATTTGTTAGAAAACTCAGGTTTAGAAGTCAGTGATTTGTCCAAAGCCTCAAGGCTGGTTAGTGGTCAAGTGAGAGACTTGTTCTTAGGTTTTCCACCCTCCACCCCCCAGCTCACCTTTCCCCCAACCATGGCAGTGCTTCTGGGTGGTAGACAGATGGAGTAGCGAGCCGCTCTCCTCCACCCCTGGTGTGTGTTGGTGGGCAGTGTAGACGCCTCAGGTGCCTGTGCTTGGCAGTCCCTTCCCACCTCTGCCTGCCCCTCCCCTAGTCCCTCTCACCAACGAGGGGACCCTTATCTTTCTGTGTGTCAGGCTCTGATTGCGGAGGAGACAAGCAGCAGGCTTGCCGAGCAGGAAGAAGAGCCTGAGAAGTTCCGAGAGGCCTTGGTGAAGTTCGAGGCCAGGTTCAACTTCCCGGAGGCAGAGAAGCTGGTCACCTATTACTCCTGCTGCTGCTGGAAGGGCAGGGTTCCCCGCCAAGGCTGGCTGTACCTCAGCATTAACCACCTCTGCTTCTACTCCTTCTTCCTGGGCAAAGAACGTAAGTGAGGCTTGGGCTGGCATTCGCAGATGAAGCTGACCCTTGGGATGCTCAGTGCTGTCCTGAGACTCGAGGAAGAGCTAGAGAAGAAAGGATTTTTAAATGAGTAGTTGAGATGGTAATGAGTGATTCTTGATTAACTTCAAATAACGTGTGCAGACAATTATATTTCTTTATGCTACCACCACTAGGGGGCTTTGATTTGGTGAGAATTCATTTTTTCCATTGCCTTAAACATTTCTGTGTAATTCGCTTCATAGAGCTACAGAAGGTTTTTTTACTTTATGTTGCTCTGAAAACACATTGTCAAAACTGACGCTTCTTAAGATGGGTGGGGGGCCTTTAAAAAGTTGCCAGCCCTGAAGATCATGACTGCTCCTGGAAGAGGAGCAAGATGTACAGCTGTTCCTTGGAATGGGAAGGTCCACTTGAGATTCAGGCGGTGATTAACTTTTCACACATTTATCCACTGACCATCACCATGCGAGGTGATGGAATTCCAGGATAAGAAAGAAAAGCCATAAGTGTTGGTTGTATATTGAATTTTTAAAAAATCATTCCCCCTGAAACTTCTTTTGGAACCAAGTATTGTTGCAGGCATCCATGCAGGATGGCAGCTGTGTGTGTGTATATAAAACAAGTAAATGCGTATGTATGTGTTTATATATCTAATTTTTTTTCCCTTCCTGCATTTAAGTTTATATTTCAAGTTGAACCAGTGGGAGGGGCTTCTCTGAAATTGTGCTGACACAGCTTCCTTCCAGGGCCATTGCTTCTCTTTCTCATGCTGCCAGCTTCAAGTCTGATGCTCCAGTACATACACCCTGTGTGCACAGCCTTTCCCTACCCCTGGACTGTGCTCTGACCTAATCTTGACTATCCTTATTCTTGTACTTTCTGCGGTGCTTCTCAAAATTCATGCAGGTCTTTCCTTCCCTTCCCCATTCTTGTGCCTCTTTGGAAACTCCGGTTCACCCTTCAAAATCAGTTCAGATTTTTATCACCTCCAGGGACTTTCCTTGGTTCCCTTAAAATTTGCACCATGTTTGTGTTTCTGTTTTAGATTTTGTCAAGTTAGTGGTTGCTTATTTTACATGTCTGTCTGCCCTATTTGAATGAGCTTAAGTGCAGGGCTTTTCACAAAGTAGACGCTTGATGAAGTGAAAGTTGATGTTATAGGTTGCATATGTGTTTGTATGAACAACTTACGTGAAAGCAACTAGAAGTAGCTGAAGAAGCTTCTTCTCAACCTGATGTAGATGTGTGGCCTTTTAAGTTACTGAAGCCCTGAAAACATTATTACAACAAGTGGAAAGAAATGGTAGAAAAAGAAACACTTCAAGATCCCTTCCTTTATTTGAAAAAGAAAATGAGTTACTTTCTGACACCGTTCATTCATGGTGACTAAGCCAAATTTTGTTAAGATGCTGAGTTTTGAAAAAAAAATGATTTCTAGTATTTGTTGTCATAGTGTCTTTTCCCCATTTGCATTAGCAAGCGCTAGCTAGCCTCACTACCACTGTATTGGAAACATTTCCCAGAATAGAACACTTGTTTATAAAATGTACTGTTTGTACTGTATTGCTTTAAAAAGAATTCCACAGAAATTGTACTGTGTCTTCTAAGACTGTCATTTGACACAGTCTAAATGTTAAGCCTGTTTCTCTAAACGAGATCATGAATAATCCTCTTTTGCACTTTTTTTTTCATAGCGTACACCATGAATGCTGCTTTTGAAACCAGAAATTAGGTAGATTGAGAAAGTTTTGCATATTTTGCAAATATTTAAGTTTAAATATTTTTGAAGAAGTTTTCCTGTTGTTAACTTGATATTTCAGAATGCTGTCCCCTGTACGTGTGCAGTAGCCAGCAACTTGGAAGATTTTACTTAAATCTTCTTTTAAGAAAATCATGAAACATGAGTTGGGTTCTAACACACAGCTGTCAGGCAGTTTTGTGCTTCCCCTTTCCTGCTCTGGTTTTGTATTTCAGCTTAAGGAAATCCTTGGACTCTTGTTTGCTGATACACTCAAGTTTGGCTCATATGTTAGGGTAACCTATGTATTTGCCTTTTTTTTTTTTTTTCTCTTCCAGTTAAACTTGTAGTCCCTTGGGTTGATATCCAGAAGTTAGAAAGAACGTCCAACGTCTTCCTGACGGATACCATCCGAATCACCACGCAGAATAAGGAGCGTGACTTCTCCATGTTCCTGAACCTCGATGAGGTGTTCAAGATCATGGAGCAGTTGGCGGACGTGACACTCCGGAGGCTCCTGGATAATGAGGTCTTTGACCTGGACCCAGACCTGCAGGAGCCGAGCCAGATCACCAAGCGGTAAGAGCTTCCGTTTTCAGTTCCTCACCCATAGGACTGATGTGCCACCACCTTCATTTACATGTGCTTTGTTAGTCGTAGTTGTACAAGGTTGAAATTTCCTTGTGGCATGATCAGATTTTCCTGTGGCGTTAATCATGATTGTGACATAATAATTGGCAGCGACTGTTAATTTTTTTTTTTTAATAGTGAAAGTTTTTTTTAAAGATTTCATCTATTTGTTTTAGAGCAAGTGAGCTGGGGGCGGGGCAGGGGGAGGCGGAGAGGGAGAGAATCTCTAGCAGACTCTGCACTGAGCGTGGAGCCCAGCTTGGGGCTCGATTCCATGACCCTGACATGACCTGAGGCGAAACCAAGAGTCAGACGCTCAACTAACTGAGCCATCCAGGTGCCCTGATTGTTAATTTTTTTTATGCAGTTGACTTTGTTTTCTGGATCCAATTCTGCTTTTTTTCCAGATATTTGGAAACTGATTTTTATAAAAAATACTTCTAAGGAAAATGTAATATGGATAGCTTCACGATAGAATTCCATTCAGTACTGTGCTTTATCAGTGAACATTAAGAAATTTTATATTTCCATTTGAAAGTGCTTTGTAGAAGAAGTTTTCAGGACAGTGGATTTATTTTTGGTACAGGTTTGTCATTAGAAATGTGCCTTAGTAATGCTCTAAGTTAACATTCTTTGTTATTGGTTTGCCCCCGGCTGATGCTAGGTGTGGAGATGTCTGGGGCAGTTGCTTGAATTATTAGTCACTTTAAAGAAGTTCAGCTTTATTATCTAAAATTTAAACGGTGGTGTTTGTCCGAGCTTGACCGTGATTCCTGACTTGGTGGTTTAGACCAGGTAACTGCAGAGTTGATACAAAGATACCCTTAGAGAAACAAGTCATCTGTGAAGTGCTGTTGCGGCTGGATAGATTTGATATCGTTACAGAATCACCGCTACTATTTAGTACTACTAGACATGAAAAAAATATTTTAATCTGGTAAAATACACATGACATAAAATTTGCTGCCTTAATACCACTGAACCATACAGTTAAAAATGGATAAGTACGTTCACATTGTTGTGCAACCATCCCCTCCATCCAGCCCTGGGGTGCTTCATCTTGCAAAACTGAAACTCTGTCCCCATTAAGCAATAACTCCATTCCCTCCTCCCCCAGCCCCTGGCAACCGCCACCCTACTTTCTGTCTCTGAGTTTGACTACTCGAGGTCCCTCATGTAAGTGGACTGATACAGTATCTGTCTTTTTGTGACTCGCTTATTTCACTTAGCGTCATGTCCTTAAGGTTCATCCATGTTGTAGCAGGTGCCAGAATTTCCTTCCTCTTTAAGGCTAGGTAGTAAAATAATCCATTGCATGGATATACCACATTTTCTTTATCCGTTCATGCATCTGTGGACACAAAGCTGTTTCTACCTTTGGCTGTTGTATCTGATGTTGCTATGAGCATGTGTGTGCAAATATCTTTTCGAGTCCCTGCTTTCACATCTTTTGGGCATATACCCAGAAGTGGAATTGCGAGATCGTGTGGTAGTTCTGTGTCATTCTATGTCCAGTCATTAAAAACATTTTTTAAATCTATTGTAACATTCCTGTTATTCCTTACACACGTTCGCTGTTTTCTCGGAACATCTGGGAGAACATGTGTCTAATTAGTGGTCTCTAAATGGCAGTGTGTTTTTTTTTTTTAAGATTTTATTTATTTATTTGAGAGAGAGAGAGAGAGAGAAACAGCACGAGAGGGGAGAGGGTCAGAGGGAGAAGCAGGCTCCCTGCTGAGCCAGGAGCCCGATGTGGGACTCGATCCCAGGACTCTGGGACCATGACCTGAGCCGAAGGTAGTCGCCTAACCAACTGAGCTACCCAGGTGCCCAAAATGGCAATGTGTTTGTAGTTGGCATGTGTTCAGCAAGAATTTAGAGCCCCTGCTGTGTGCATGCGTTGGAAATTTGATCGTGTATCGTCCCAAGTAAGGCAAAAATCAAAAAGTGAGCTTTTTTGGTGAAACTCCAGTGAATTTCACTTGGTTTTATGTCCTCATCATCTGACAGTCCCTTTGTGAGAGGGGATGGTGCTGCTTGTCACTCCCTTACGAAAGGATAGCCTTGGGGTGCTGCCCTTGGGTCTTCTCACTCCCCATCCTGAGCTCCTCCCTGTGCCTCCTGACCCCGGGTTTCCAATTACCATCTCTGACTCTGTCCTAGGTCCAGAGAAGACAGCCCAGCACAACGGCAGCCCCACTCTCCCATATATCTTCAAATAACTCTATAGTCGTTCAGTATCTGAGTCCTTTTAGTCCAGCTTACAAAGACTGGTTAAAAATGAAGAAACCAGTCTCGGTTGTAGGAGTTGTTAAAGGGCTCCTATAAATCACCCAGTAAAGCTGCTCTCTCTCCTGCAGGTTTTGCATCGATGCGTGTGAATTGTGATGTGTGTGAATTGCAGCCAGGGTCTTAGAACTAGGAGGCCGGCTGATAGCCTGCATGCTCCGGTCAGCTCCATGGGCATTGGGATTTCAGGTGACTTCTCACAGATCTCCTGATGTTCCTTCATGGCTCCACTTCTAGATGTAGCATTGTGGTTTGGGGTAGAAACTGGGAAAGAAGAGGCTGATGGCAGGTTTGTCGCACTTAAGACCCTTCGGTAAAATCCTTCGTTTTGGAAGAAAATTCATCAGCACAGGCAGTCTTCATGCATGTTCCAGAATTCAGGTGAATTATATGAGGCTCCCCCTCTTCCACTTTCTATCCTGGAAACCATTAGGAAGAAGAGAGAGAAAAGGACAAAACAGGGCCCTGGCGGTGGCCAGGGTGGCGCTGCTGGGACCCCACAGGTGCCTTGGGCTGGCCCTGTGATGGACGGCAGGATTCTGGTCCATGGTGTGTTTTGCTGGTCTCTGCACTTTGAGTGACTTCTTCCAAAAGTGAAAGGCATGTCCTTGCCTACCAGTTCCTCGCTGGGTCTCTTGTGTAGCTTTCTGTCATGGAGACATAGGCCTGTGGACATAAACAGGTAATGACTCAGTCAACTTGACATCCTGCCAAGAGAGCCCAGGTTTTCAAGTTGAGGAAAACAGTCTCTTGATGCAAAAGGCACGATCAGAAGTGCTGGAATGCTCCTCAGGCTCCCTTTTGTTGATGTATTTTCACTTCCCTTCCCAGATAACAGCTTTAGAAAGGTGCCCTTGGGGTCACTGGTGTGGTGAGCCATCTGATTATGAATTAGTCATGATTGCTGCTCATGCTCACTCCCATGGGACTTCGGGACAGAGCCTAGCGAGGCTGGGACTCCAGCAGGAGCCGGGAGACGGGATGGTGCATTGCACAGGAGGACCCAGTCAGACAAGGTAGAGCTGGCTGGCCCCGGGGAGTCCTCTGGCCCAGCCCTCACACTTCGCAGAGGAGGGCCTGGACCAGGGATTCTGGGGTGCAGTAACAGAATCCAGGAGGGTGGGGAAACGGAGACTGAGGAAGGGACTTCTGGGGGCTGGGGGAGCTAATAAATGGATTGGTCCTGAAATTTACAAACAAAATAATACTTGTAAAGTTGTGAGTGGTAGGTTGAGAACTGTGTAGCCAGCTGTTTGGGGCGGGGGGAGATTGGGGAGGTGATGGGTTTCACTAAATCAAAATTAATATCTTCATTAAAATCTGTATTGATTGATGGAAAGTGCTGGAGGAAAACTCAGTTAATGCAGTACAGTGAATGGAGGGTCTTTCCCCTGGTGGAAGCTTTTTCTGTGGTATCCAAAGGTAGGCAGTGGCTGCCGGGGTTGGGGGGGGGGGGGGCTGATGTCTTCAGAATAAGCCCTCATCCCCTGTTGCCTGGCTGATTCTTAGCTCCCTGGTCTGACTTTTCAGACCTTCTTTGGCCTTTTCTGTCCAGATTCACTCCCTTTCCTGCTGTTCTCCTTGTGCCCCTACTAAGAATGCCCAGCCTAGCTCTGTAATTTATTCGACTTTCTGTCCTTGTGATTCTGGTTCAGAGTCACCATCTCTTAGGGGCTCCTCATGCAGCCCCGAACAGTTCCTGCCTCACGGGGGAAGGCCTGCGGCTCCCCACCCTGCAGAGCCCTAGCTGCTTTGTACTTCTCCAGGCTGTTCTGGAGCAGGATGGAGGGCAGAGGGTGAAGGCAGGAGCCTTGAGCGTGAAAAAGCCTTCTAGATGCCAATGTTGTTGAGGTCTTGGTCTGCTAGAGCTCCAAGAATGGATTTTCAAAGAAATGGGGGCACTGCGGCCCCAGCTGAGTCCATCTGCAGCCTGTTGTCTGCTGTCTGAGGGCTGGGTTTCCCTCATGCCCCCATTGTGTGCAGGGGACCCAGGCTGCTGTGTGCTCTGTGTAAGATGCTTCATAGCAAGGTTGTCCTTCTGTTTCCTTAGTGCTCTTGGGGGAAGGTAGAAGAAAGGTGTTTCACGTAAACACACATTCGAGGGATGCCATGTTGTATGTGCACACTTTTGGGCTTTGAGGACAAGTATGTGTATCTGGTCTTTCTGCCTTGTTTCTTGTTTCTTTTTCTTTTTTTTTTTAAAAGATTTTATTTATTTATTTGACAGAGACATAGCGAGAGAGGGAACACAAGCAGGGGGAGTGGGAGAGGGAGAAGCAGGCTTCCCGTGGAGTAGGGAGCCCGATGCAGGGCTTGATGCCAGGACCCTAGGATCACGACCTGAGCTGAAGGCAGACGCTCAACGACTGAGCCACCCAGGCGCCCCTTTCTGCCTAGTTTCTACATTGCTGGCTCTTGCCCAGAGTTTCAAATGAGTTGGGCGTGGGTCTGTGGGTGGGTGTGTAACTAAGAGCCTCTAGAAATCCTTATACGTATCTTTATGGGGCAAACTGCCTGCAGAGGGCCAAGTTATTCCAGAAGGGCAGGGGTGGTACTTGAGGCCTCAGGTCTAGGGCACAGGGGGGACCTCCTCACACCCGGTGCTAATGCGGGAGCCCACCTGCCCCAGTCTGCCACACAGCCTGAGTTTGGGGAAGCACTTGGCCTTGAGCAGCTTGAGCTGCTGACAAACAGGAGGTTTGTGGATGTGGGTTGAGTGACACGAGGGAGGGAGAGTTCCCATGGCTTGTGAGGCCTGACACGGGTCTTTTCAAAAGTGTTCTAACAGGTTGATGGGGAAAAGAGAGAGGGAAACCTGTTTTTGATACATTTGTACCAAAACTAGGAGGAGGAAATCGAATTCCTAGGTTTGCAGAGAAACGAAAGAACAACCCACCCTTTCATTTCTTGGGTCTAAGGCCTAAGGAATGAAGTGTGGAATTTTAAATGTGGGCATGTAGTTTAGAATTGTCCACCTTGTTGTCATGCAGGGCTGCACGCGTTAATTGCAGCTCTGCGAACAAACTTGGTGTTCTTGCTCCCCACGTTTATGTCCTATGTGGCTACACGCTCATACAATGGCATGTGTTAAGACAGGAGGGTTTGTGGCGCCGTCCCTTCTATTCTCAGCTGTCGCTTTCTCTTGGAGCGATTGCTTTGACCAGTGCATACCAGCAAGGTGGACAATGGGTGGTAAATATTGTGGGGGCTGCCGGGCTAGTTTTCATCTTTATAGGGGCGCTTCTGCCCTGGCTTACAGGCCTGTGCTCGGCTACTGCTTTCTGAATGGTCGGTTATGGCTCATGTCTGTAGGGCATCTCTATGGAGGAAGAGGGGGAGCCTTTAGTAAGTACTGGAAGGTCTGAAAGGCAAATTGTGACCAGTGGGCTTTGTTTCTGGTGCTCTTCGGAAAGAGGAGCTGATATTTTTAGCATCAAAACTACCACCTGCGATACAGACCTAAAGGATGAAGTGGTCTTACTCTGAGCTTCATAAAGAGCTTGAGCTACTCCTCTCTCAAGCTACTACAGGATCTTCATCTCCATCTGCTGGAAAGTTAAATGCCACATATATAGGTATAATGCAGATTTAGAGGCAGAATTGGAAGAGGACTTTCTAAGGAAGGAAGATGATTTAGGAAAGTCCTTCCTGCTGCTTTTTTTTTTTTAAAGATTTTATTTATTTATTTGACAGAGAAAGACACAGTGAGAGAGGGAACACAAGCAGGGGGAGTGGGAGAGGGAGAAGCAGACTCCCTGCGGAGCAGGGAGCCCGATGCGGGACTCGATCCCGGGACTCCAGGATCATGACCTGAGCCGAAGGCAGTCGCTTAACCAACTGAGCCACCCAGGCGCCCTGCTTTTTTTTTTTTTTTTAAGATTTATTTATTTCAGAGAGAGCGTGTGCAAGCGTGTGGGGGGAGGGGCAGAAGGAGGAGAGAATCCTGAAGCAGACTCCTTGCTGAGCGTGGAGCCCGACAAGGAGCTTGATCCCAGGACCCTGAGATCCTGACCTGAGCCGAAACCAAGAGTGAGCAGCTTAACCAACTGAGCCACCCAGGTGCTCCCCTCCTTTCTGTCTTTGTCTTATAACATGAGGTCACTGGTCTGTGACTGCTGAATGTGTGAGAGATAGACCCCAAGGGTGACAGAGAACAGCCCAGAAAGGAGAGTGGAGATGTGCTCAGAAGCCATGGAGAATGGGGTTGAACTGAGTGGTTGGCTGGTGTAGCAGGTGCACCGAACAGAAAAATCATATAACTGAGTGCCTTATTCTTATACTGAAGAGCTGGCTGCAAAAATACCAAAAGTCCTTCCACCCCCTCCCCCCCACCCCCGTGCTTCTAGGAAGGACCAGACGACAGTTGAATTCAATGGTGGCTGGACCCACATCTGTGAGATACGTACAGGCAGGCTGTGTCGGCTTTACTTTGACCAAAGCCAGCACGGCCAGCCCGCTTTCAGGACAAGGACATAAACCCTCCAACGTAAATATGCTGAATATAGGTCTGCTTTCAGGGAAGTGGGGTGATCTTGAGGGTCCTTGACTTCCATCCTGTAGTATGTGAATTTCTAGAGCATTCACGGTGCTTTCCCACGTTCTCCCAGCTTCTCTGGGGAGGAAGCGCAGGCTCCTTTGGAAACAGCCATTCCTGGAATATCAGGTGCTGCAGCCTTTGGCCCACAGTAACTGGACCCATCTTGATCTGTAGAATTTGTCTAATTTCTCGCTGTGCCTGGAGGACTTTCTGAACATGCATGTATTTATCTTTGTGAGGGCTTGATAGTAAATTCCGAGCACTCCCCCATCTCTCTGTGGGGTCTCCTGGGAAGACAGTTGTGTGATGGTGTGAAAATGAGGACTGGGTTGGAAACGGGAAGCAGGGCAGGAGGGGCCTCTATGTGTGAGCCTGGCCCTGGTGAGGGGAGGATGTGTCTAAAAGATCACTCAGACTGGGGCGTTTAAAATTTATGCAACATTTTAAAAGTTACTCTTTTCCTAAAAGAAAATAGCTTCATTTTTAAAAAAGCTAACAATATGTGGTCAGGTAGAAAATTTAAGCAGAATAAAAATGAAAAGTGGAAATCCTACTACACAGAGTCAACTACTATTAACATTTTATGCAAAATCTTTTTACATATCACTTTCTGCAATTTTATAGAATTTATTTAAATGGGATCATACTGTAGAAGCTATTTCTAACCTACTTTTTCAATGTTGTGGACATCATATGTTTTCAGGGATCTCTTGAAGCAGAAAGGTTAGGTATTGTTTCCATTTTACAGATGTCAAGATGTGATATGGAGAAGTGTTATCTAAGGTCACCCAGCTAATAAGAAAGCTAAGAGTTCATATTCCTTACTTTGAGCGCAGTGCTAATTCTCTCAGATAAATTTAAAGAGCTCTTATTCGATGTGGCAAAGAAAAATTTTTATCTCTGTACAGTGGAATTTCCTCTCTACTAGAATTTTGGGGTATGACATAAATTCATCAGTATTTGCAAACATTGTGATTTCGCTGCCTTCTTGCTTTATTGGATGTTAGAACCAAGACCCAGGGTATGGGGGGGGTCCCCTAGGGTAGGATTTCTCCCCCATTCTCCACTGTCCATACTGATGTGACACTGATGGGCTTCTCTCCAGTGATACTTTTACTTGGATTTGTTTTTTTATTTTTTTATTTTTTGAGAGAGAGAGAGAGAGCTGGGGGAGGGGCAGAGGGAGAAGGAGAGAAAGAATCTGAAGCAGGCTCCACGCCCAGTGCAGAGCCTGACGTGGGGCTTGCTGTCATGACCCTGAGATCGTGACCTGAACTGAAATCAAGAGTCAGATGCTTAACCGACTGAGCCAGCCAGATGCCGCTTGGATTTGTTTTTTAAAGGTAATAATAGCTCATGTTTATTCAGCACTTACTGTATGCCCAGCACAGATCTCAGTTTAACTGCTTTTTTGAGCTGTCATTCATATACCATACAATTCACCCTGTTAAAGCATCCCAATCAGTGGTTTTTCAATCCAGAGAGTTGTGCAACCATCGTCACGCTCGGTTTAGAACATTTTCTTCACCCCAAGGAGGAACCCCAGACTTATGAGCAGTCACTCCCCACTTCTCCCTTATCCCCTGCTCTACATAATCACTAAGCTATTTTCTGTCTTTATGAGTTTTGCCTATTCTGGAAATTTCATATAAGGGGAATCAGGCGGTATGCAGTCTTTTATATCTGTAACACTTTCGAGGTCAGTCCCTGGTGTAGCTTGTGTCAGTATTTCGTGTGGCCGGGTGATGTTCTGTTGTGTGGCTCTGTCCCATTTTGTTGATCCGTTTATCAGCGGATGGATGTTTGGGTTGTTGCCATCCTGAACACGCGTGTCCGGGTTTTTGAGCAGATGTTCATTTTCGGTTCTCTGGGGTCTACGCCTAGGAGGGGAATTGCAGGGTCGTATGGTAAGTCCATGTTGAACCTTTTGAGAACCAGCCGAACTGTTTTCCAGACGGGCCGCACCATTTTACATTCCCACCCGCGGTGTATGAAGGTTTCCGTTTCTCCACGTCCTCGCGGGCACTTGGTGTTACGGACTTTCTGATCCTGGATCCTTAAACCATTGTTTGATGGTGATTCACAGTGTTGCTCAAACCAGGAAGGAGTATCTGTTTTGGTCTGTGAGTTTGTTGTCTTACTTTTGCGCGGAGGCGACCCCTTCTGCCTTGAGTACCCGTTCTCTCCGAGGTTGGCTGTGAAGTGGGGTGCGTGCTGGGACCCACGCAGGACCCGGTGGGGCTCATCCATTTTCACATCCGGCTTCACAGGGTTTTCTTTGTAAGCCCATGTGTTCGTTCACCGTTCCTGCCTCTTTGTCTTCTCTCTGCCCCCTCCGCCAGGGACCTGGAAGCCAGAGCACAGAACGAGTTCTTCCGGGCGTTCTTCAGGCTGCCGAGGCGCGAGAGGCTGCACGCCGTGCTGGACTGCTCGCTGTGGACGCCGTTCAGCCGCTGCCACACCGTGGGGCGGATGTTCGCCTCCGACCGCTACATCTGCTTCGCCAGCAAGGAGGATGGCTGCTGCAATGTCATCCTGCCGCTCAGAGAGGTAGGCGGAGCCCCGGCCGGCGCTTCCCGAGCCCGCCTTTTGCCCTTGAGCCCGTGGCGGCCAGGTCACCGGCTGGGGCAGGGCTGCTCACCCAGTGGGGCTTTGCCGGCTGCAGACGGGCCTCTGGGGAGAAGCACGGCCTGCGTTTGACCAGTCCCCATGTGCTTGTTGCTTTTTCTGTCGTTGCTCCAACAGCCTGAAATGTGCCTGGAAGTGACTGGTGAGAAGCAAGCACTCTCACCTCCCTGCCTAGCAGTTAAAGCTTTTCCAACAGCTCTTAGGAAGGATTCCACCCCTTGCACTCACAAAAAGGGGAAAGAAAAAAGGCAACCGACAAAAAGCATCACCTTTTGCCAATGTCAGATTGCATGACTTTTGTACCCTCCTGGGACTTGAGTGAAACATTTAAAAAATGTTTCCTTTAATATGGATCAGGTCCCTTCCCTTCCTGCTATAAAATTCTGCAATCTGTCCCTGGAAATGCAGGGCAACCTGAGGCTACTTCCTGATCTGCCGTCCTCAGTCCTTTGGTTTCAGGGCATGTCTGTGGTGACCATACCCACCCCTCTGTTTCCCATCAGGACCTCCAAATTCTGAGCACTGTTCTTTGGGAAAACTCAGAATTTTTCATCCATGTGATCTACCTCCATGTCATTTTCTAGATGTTTTCATTTTGCAAATATTCTTACTTAGGAGCGGAGCAAGGAATCCAAGAGTTGTCCTGTGCACTTACTTGTCTTATTGTAACATATACGTAACATCACATTTCCCACTTCACCCACTTTTAAGTGTTATGGTTCAGTAGTGTTAAGTACATTCACAGTATCATCCTACCATCACCAGAACTTCCTCGTCTTCCCCAGCTGAAACTCTGTTCCCATTAAGCACTCACTCCCCATCCTCCCTCTCCAGCCCCGGGCAACCACCCCTCTACGTTCTGTCTCCTAATCGCACTACTCGAGGTCCCTCGTCTAAGTGGGATCATACAGTATTTGCCCATCTGTGGCTGGCTTATTTCACCGAGCATGATGTCCTCCAGGTTCATCCATGTTGTAGCACATGTCAGAATTTCTCTCCTTTTCAAGGCCGAGTCCTATTCAGTTGTGTGGGTAGATCACATTTTGTTCCTCCGCTCACCTGTCGATGGGTACTAGAGTTACCGTAAATAGGCTGCCTTAGATAATTTTTAACTTCTGTATCCGTTCCTTAGGGCAGTTGTTTGGTTTTGCCTTCTTTCTGGTGGTATTTTCCTAAATAGGTAATTGACATGCCTGCCCTCCGTTGTCTGTTGCTGGACCTTTTGTGTGTAACTTTTTGCAATAGGTGGTGAGCATTGAGAAGATGGAGGACACAAGTCTCCTCCCTAATCCCATCATCATCAGCATCAGGAGCAAGATGGCCTTCCAGTTCATCGAGCTAAAGGACAGAGATAACTTGGTGGAAAGCCTGCTCATGAGGCTGAAGCAGGTGCACGCCAAACACCCCGTGCATTATGACACCTCACAAGATGAAGACATGGTATGATGCTTAGAAACAGTGGGATCCTATAAAGTGAAGATCTCTTTTCTCACCCCTTCTAGGGCAGTGGTCTCTAAAGGGAGTACGCATAACCACAATCCACTTGGAAATGAGAGAACTGTGTTAGAGATGATTGGGCCTGTGTATTAGACAGTGTATCACTTCTGATACTCGAGGGGTCCTGAGTGGGTGCTGCACAGGTTAGAGGGTGGCCCACGCAGTGAGTGGTTTGAGGGGCTAACAGGGTACCCTGCTCACAGGTTAGAGGGGCTCATAGGGCACCACCCCACACCAGAGGTTAGGGGAACTGATGGGCACCCCTCCATATGTTAGAGAGGTTGGTGGGGTACCCACACACATCAGAGGGATTGACAGGGCACCTCTCCCAGGCTAGAGGGTTTGATGGGTATCGACCTGCATGCAGGTTAGCGGACACCTTCCTCGTAGGTTGGAGGGGTCTGTGCTCCGCCCCCTCCCCCGAGATTGAGGGGATGTTATTTGGGGGCAGATGGAACTTGTTAAAAGAGAAGTTACATTGTCCTTAAGGCTGGACAGCTGGAAAACAGACCTGGATCTGCTGGGGACTCCTCTCCTGCTGTTTCACACCTGTCCCTCTCTTTCTTCACCTCTTTTTTTTTTTTTTAAGACTTTATTTATTTGACAGAAAGAAACATAGCGAGAGAGGGAACACAAGCAGGGGGAGTGTGAGAGGGAGAAGCAGGATCCTTGCTGAGCAGGGAACCCGATGCGGGACTCGATCCCAGGACCCTGGGATCATGACCTGAGCCGAAGGCAGACACTTAACGACTGAGCCACCCAGGCGCCCCTTTTCACCTCTTTTTACCAGTGCAGTGACAGGGAGGAAAGGATATAGTTTCTCAGTACCCGAGAGCTGTTTTCTGAAGATGGTCATCCTCAGTTCTGGAAGCATACAAGAAATGGTTCTTGTCTGCCCCCCTCTTGGCCCCATACCCTGTATGCTGTGAGCGGCCTTCCCAGGAAAGCACAGTGTGGACCACATTCTTTCCTGAGGATCAAATCTGTTGGGGCTAATGTTAGTCTGTTTCCCTTGAGTCCTACACAGGCGTGTTTAAGTATGTTACCTTCGTGGCGCCTGGGTGGCTCAGTTGGTTAAGCACTGGGCTCTTGATCTCAGCTCAGGTCACAATCTCAGGGTCCTGGGATTGAGCCCCTTGTCGGGCTCCATGCTCACTGGGGAGTCTGCTTGAGGATTCTCTCTCTCCCTCTCCCCCTGCTCGCTCATGCTCACACACTCACTCTCTCTCAAATAAATAAATTTAAAAAATATGTTACCTTCCTGCCTCCAAAGGCAAAACAAAGACTCTTCCATAAGTAATGACTTTCTTCTAGCTATGTCCTTTTTTTTTATGTCTTTCCAGCAGACTTCACCTGTGTTTCATTCAACAAGCATGTGCAGTGACCACAAGTTTGGGGATCTTGAAATGGTGTCCTCTCAAAATAGCGAGGAAAGTGAAAAAGAGAAGAGCCCGCGGCTCCACCCTGAGGCCCTGATCTCTGTGTTCCAGCAGGCGGGCAGCCAGAGCCCCGACTCACGAATGGTGGGTGGCCTGGCTCTGCCTTTGCCGGACCCCGGCAGAGCCGGCACGGGTGGGGGTTCCCAGCTGTCAGGCCTGCTGCAGGCTGTGCACCTGCTGGCGCCAGCCTCGCGGGCCTCAGGAGAGCAGGTGTGGTGCAGGTTGCTGGCCACCCCAGCAGCTAGCACCCCTCCCTCTTCCTCCTGGGCAGTAGTGGGAGGGCCCAGCCGATGCCAGCTGCCTGGGCACGACCGGGTGCATGGAGGATGTGATCAGATGACTGAGGCCGTCGGCTTTCCCTACCTGCCCCTTAAGTGGCTCTCGGACACAGCTCTCGGCCATGTGACCTGGAGAGCATCAGTGCTGTCCTTTGTGGGTTCTTGCAGGTGCAGAACAAGTGTTCCCCTTCTTACCCAGGGGTGTCTGTGTGGGCTCCTTTTACAGTATTGCTTGGTTCTCTCCTGGAACAAAAGGTCTCCTGTGCTGTAGTTTTACCAGACAAAAGATATTTCTGTTACATCTACTTATCCTTGTCCTCTTTATAGGGAGAATCCGAGGGAAATGTCATGCACTGTGGGGTAAAGAGGCTAGAAATTGTACTCTGGAAAGACACTGCGGCTGGAGGGAGGCTGCATTGGGACCACGTGTGCCGGGGGTGTCTGTGGACGTTACCACCCCAAGCTTTGCCTTGTCACCTACTTGGCTACTGTATAATCGTTAGCTTTATTCATTCAAAACGGAGCCTTCTGATAATGCTTTACACAGAGCAGCTCAATGAGCTCCTGTAAGAATACTGAATATATGTAGAAGGTTCTCCCCTTACTGGAGAATGCAGATAATGAAAAGCATATTAAACATGTTGCTTAATGGGACGCCTGGGTGGCTCATTCGGTTAAGCGGCTGCCTTCGGCTCAGGTCATGGTCCCAGGGTCCTGGGATCGGGTCCCGTATCGGGCTCCCTGCTGAGAGGGGAGCTTTCTTTTCCCTCTGCCTGCCCCTCCTCCTGCTTGTGCACGTGCTCTCTGATAAGTAAATAAAACCTTAATAAAAAAACAAAACATGTTGCTTAAAAGGTACTAACAACTCCTGTCATCTAGGGATAATTTTAAAGAATTTTTAGTTGCCTAGAGAAATGGTATCTGTCTTGTGTCTGATAATGAGAACAGTATGATTTTTTTCAGGCTCCAGTTTTTCCTCTGGCTGTCCCGGAGCTCAGGGCAAATTATGAGGTTCCCCCCCCCCCGCCGCCCCTCCCTTGTTCACCCTCTGAGCTGACCCGTGTTTCAACAGCTGGCTTGGTGTTAACATCCTGAGATGCTTCCCCTGATGTCCCCCACTCCCACCCCACCCTCCCAGTTGCTTTGGACTTGAGTATCTGGACAAACCTATTCTTACTATCAACTTTGCCAACGAAATGGCATTTTATTTGCGTAAACTCTCCTGCTGGGTTCTGAACTCCAGAAGGGCTGTTACTTGGTGTTGTTACTCATCTTTACATCCTCTGTGCCTGCGAGTGTTTCAAAAATATTTGCTGAACCAGTTGCCCATCACTGTTGGTCCCTCTGTTAACAGAAGCAGCCTCCCTCTGCGGTGGGTTGCAGATGGGCTGTGGTGGAAGGCATGGAAGGGCTTCTTTGCACGTTAACAGCATTTCCATCTCCAGTCCAGGGAACAGATAAAAATAAGCCTGTGGAATGACCACTTTGTGGAATATGGCAGAACCGTGTGTATGTTCCGCACAGAGAAGATCCGGAAGCTTGTAGCCATGGGGATCCCCGAATCTTTACGTGGCAGACTCTGGCTGCTTTTCTCAGGTACGTGTTTCTGGTATTTTTAGGCAAACTGTTATTTCTGGAGCGGACACAGGAACAGAGGCCCAGATCTGAACAGCGTGTATGTGCAGACAGGTCCTCTGTCTCTGGATTCTTCCTGCATCGTTGCCAGCCAAGAACTTCGGCACCCTTACTGTGTTAGCTGTAGGACCTTGGTCCAGTTGCCCAAGACCTTGGGCTGCGGTGTCCTCCTTGGCCAATGTGAGGCCTGGCTGAAGGCCTCTCCTCTCCTTTAAAAATAACTTGGAGTGTGTATGTAGTCTTGAGAACTCTGTTAAAGAACCTCCTAGAAGTGAAGTGTCTTTCTAGGACATACATTTGAACTAGACTAAACAAACCAACCCTCTGTATGTTGTTCACTTGCAGTGGCGTTGAAATAAATCCCCCAGCATACTTTCTGTTGGTCCCTCCTTTGTGGAAGATGCACGGCATCCCCAGGAGGCACCATTGCAGAGATTTCTGCCCCACTTCCTCCTCCCACACCACTTGAGCCATTCAGTGATGACCTTGTCTGGCCTCAGGCCCCAGGACTTTCCCTCTGTTGCTGTTTGGTGATGTCTGGGAATCCCTCATCAGGATGCTCTCCAGTGGGTGGGCAGAGATGAGGACTGACTTCTCTAGAGACGTGTTGAGCAATGTCTCCACATTGAGGGTGGCTGTTTTGTCTGGCTCAGTAGGAGAGGGGGGGCCTTGCAAGCAGGAAGGGAAGGCCCCTGTCCAGTGGGGTGGCTTTGCTATTCCTGTCAGGGTGCAGCTGGAGGCCTGGGAGGGGGTCTGCTCTTCCTCGGTGGCCCCGTGGGCTCAGGTCAGCACGAGCCTCCTGGAGGCCAGGCCTGGGTACCTGTCTTCTCCCTGCACCCTTTTTTTTTTTTTTTTTTAAAGATTTTATTTATTTATTTGACAGAGACAGCGAGAGAGAAAGCACAAGCAGGGGGAGTGGGAGAGGGAGAAACAGGCTTCCCGCCAAGCAGGGAGCCCGATGCGGGGCTCGATCCCAGGACCCCAGGATCATGACCTGAGCTGAAGGCAGACGCTCAACCGACTGAGCCACGTAGGCGCTCCTCCCTGCACCCTTCTTATGTTCCTCCCTCGTGTGGCTTCATGCCAGACCTTCACCCCAGTGATCCCTCTTCCCTCTTCTCAGTCCCTCCCCCGAATAGCCAAGCCCATCCCCTCTCTGGCCCAGGGTGCCCAGGTGTATGTTTCCTGCTTTCTGACATACGTGCTGGCGTCTGCTTAGTTGGGATTCATTGATGGGTTTATCACTGCTCACCTTGTTTCACATGCTGAGTCCCTTTTGGCTGGTTTCTTCAGCAAGACAGGCCTTTTTGAAATCAAAAATGTCTTCTGCATTTTTGTATTTAATGGAAACAATGTCTACACAGGGTTGAAAGGAAAATAGGAACGAGCAAAGAAAGTCACATGAGTCACCTTAACCATCTAACAGTTGACATCTATTAATGCCACTGGGTGTATAGTCTACCCCTTTAATGGACATACACAGACATCATATTAAAAAAAAAAAAAAAAGCTAGCTCCTAAAGGGCTGTCTTTCCTTCAAAGTGACAGTGCTGACAGAAAGGTTGCTGTGGGATTTAGGCTGTCGCGTGTTGAGGGGCAGCTGTTAGTATTAAGCCTTGAGGACAAGGGAATGTCGTAGTGATTGTTTATGGGATGGGATGAGGAATCACAGTTAGCAGAAGGCTGAGTTGAGGAGGGCAGTTTACTAAAGCCAATCAGAATTTAAAGACCTAGGCTGGCGATTAAAGGCAGAACTGGGCCCTTTCTGCTTGCCCTGCTCTCCTGGGACCGCCATACGTGGGGCTGGCCTCTGTCCTGGAGCCCCGCCCACCACCAGCGCCCCTGCGGGATCACTGGCTGGAACCACAGGTGCCCTGGTGCTGGCTGACGAGGGCATGGGATCCTCACCCCTGGTGTCCCTTGCTTGTCAGAGGCCTGGGGGGCAGCTCGGGGGTGGGTGGACTGTGCTTGGCTGCCCTGCCTATCATGATCCCAGCCTCAGAGTTTCTTGTTGGCAGCTTGTTGGCTCCTTGATAATTGTTTGATTACTAAACATAAGTGCACCTTCTCATGTGTTTCCCACATACGTACTCAGTAATTTTGTGTTAATATGTGAAAATTGTGTGTACGTCTGTATGTACAGATACACACATATATCCACTGTCCCTATTACTAGAGAATACAACTTACAAAAAGCATATTAATACAACTGTTTCTAGTATGAGCTGTTTCCTTTCTCTCTCTAAGGTTATTCTTAGAAAAGCCATGTTGTTTCATTTTTTCTTTTTTGTTTTTGGCAGAAATGAAGTCCTTTCGGCCTATGTGTGGTCTCAAAATATTTTCTGTCCCTCCAGTAACGAGACTGCACTGAGGTCTTCCGGCAGGACAAGCCCCCTCCCCATGTTGACTCTGTCCCGGTAATCCGCCCCCTTGAAAAATTACTTTTAAATCGTCAGATGCTGTAACCGATCTCGCCTCGCATCCGGGTTACTATGGTAATCTGGTGGAGGAGTCCATGGGAAAATGTTGCCTGGTGACCGAGGAGATAGAACGGGACCTGCACCGTTCCTTACCGGAGCATCCCGCCTTCCAGAATGAAACGGGAATTGCTGCTTTGAGGAGAGTCCTGACAGCCTATGCCCACCGGAACCCCAAAATTGGGTACTGCCAGGTGAGGTGTGCAGTGGAGGAGCAGAAATCTCTGAGTTTGTGTCTTGTGTTGGTCACCCAGGCTTCGGGTTCTGTTGTTCTCGACTGGTAGCGAAGACTGTCCTGTGAAGGCTCTGTGCTTTGTCTCTTCCCTTAAAGAATGTATTGAATAAGGTCAAAGGAATCATCTTCGTATAGTCAAACAGGCTGATTACTTGAGATTAGAAACTGTGGTGCCCGAAAAGAGCAGTGCACATGATGAGTCACTGTCCACGGCAGGACAGATTGTCTTTACCGCCCCTCCAGGCCTCCGCTGTAGGACGGCACTGATAACGCTTCTGTGGAGCTTTATCTTTCTAGATCTCTACAGAAGTTACAGGGATTATTTTTTAAATATCAGTGCTGTTTGGGGAGGAAAAAGATGTTTGGGGCCGATCCTTTTCCTTCAGGAAGCACAAGTGGAGGTAAGATGCCCTCTGAACAGTTGTTGAGTTTACTCGGAAAGTTTATTCAGGGATGTGGTAAACAAGCACAAAATAGAACCCAGTAAAACAAAACACCACTGCCCCCACCCCACCACTAGACTGGGTTAGAGAAGTCTCTGATACCTGAAAATAGACGAGTTTAAACTTTGTTTTCCTGTGAAAAGCAAAATCAATGTGTGAATGTGTGTGTGTGTGTGTGTTAGAACATACACACAGAATAGCTGGATTTGACCTGAGCCTAAGGCATGCACCACAGCTGACCCCAGCCTTCCTAGATGGGGACAGTGACAGAGTGGTGGCTGGTGGCTCAGCCTGGGGTGTCTTGTGGGGACCATGTTGATAAACACGGTCATTCCACTTGACAAGTGTCAGTGTGGTTGGGCTAGACTGGGTCTCTCATTGACAGTCTTGACTTCTGTGGACCCTTTGGGCTTGTGTGATTTTTAATGTCTGTGTGGCACGACGTGGTCTGACATGAAGCGTCCCCTCCTCTGTGAACCCTGAGCAGTCCATGAACATCCTGACTTCCGTTTTGCTGCTGTACGCCAAGGAGGAGGAGGCCTTCTGGTTGCTCGTCGCTGTGTGTGAGCGGATGCTGCCCGACTACTTCAACCACCGAGTCATTGGTAAACTGCCTCCTTCCTCCTCCTCTTCCTCTTCTGTGCTTGGGGAGCAGGGACAGAGCCTGGGCAAAGACATTTGTCATCAGTCCTTGTTCAGAAATCCCCTGTGCCACTCAGCTGGTCTCTGTACAAACACTGTTTGGCTCTTGAATGTGCAGAACCAACTGGCGTAATCTCTGCACCATTCTGGCAAAAGGGTGGACTGAGGTTACCTGAAAAGAAAAATGTTTAGGTTCGAGAAACAAGTTGAAAAGTGAAAACCAGAGAGGTTTTTTGCTGATACTGCGGCCTGGAAAGGGAGGGTGGTGTTGCCCTTCGTACCCAGGGAGCTCCTGCAGACAGATGTCCCCTTTCCCTTGTGGAGACTCTCGAGGCTGGACCTGAAGGGCAGATTTGGGACATCCCCCGCTCCCTGCCCCGGCCTTGGATACACTGATAAGTGAGAAGGCCCACTGTTGCTGGCCCCGGCTCTGGGCAGACCTGTGACCCCACAGCACTCAGGCACCCACTTGGTGCCTTCTTTTTCTGTGGTGGATTGGCATTTGCATTATCCCTGTGGTCCAGCCCCTCCTAGTGGACAAAATGACAGAAACCTTGCTTCGGCTTGCTGATACTCTCCCGTACCTTTTCTGGAGATGGCCTAAAATTCGGGCGGCAGTGGTGGGAACAGAAACAAAAGAACCAATCTGAGACAGAATTTGGCAAAAGACTGGAGGTAGGGGCAGGGCAGGAAGAAGACGCTCCCGAAGAAGACTGGTGTCAAGAACCGAGGGAATGTGAGGACCCCTGGGAGTGTGGGGGCGGGGGGTGGCTGGGAAGGATGTGGCGGAGTGCTCTAGACTGTCTTCCCTGGCTCCCTCCAGGTGCCTGAGTGACGGGCTTCCTTCCCTTTCCACTTTATGCTGTGGGAGGCGGTCTAAGCTTGCACACAGTAGCACGGACTCCTCAGAGTGTCAGGGTCACCGGGAGGCAAGCTGCCAAAGCCATCGGTTGATGGTGCTCCTACGGGACAGTGTCTACTCCTCAGTGACCAGCAGCGCCCCCTAGGTAATGTGTACACCTGTGTGAGCACCGCCCCAATACAGGCTGGAGCATTTCCATAACCCCCCACTTCCCTTCTGCCCCTTCCCTGCCACAGGCAACACTCGGTCCTGGGGTCTGTCACCACGGGTTAGTTGGGCCCAAGTTCTTGAACTTGGTCTCAGTGTAACCATGGAGAACACACTCTTCTGGGTCTGTTTTCCTGCACACGACACGCGGTTGCTGAGGCATTAGTACTCTGCTCCTTCTTCTGGCTGAGTCACCCTGCACACTCAGACCGTGATTCGTTTAGAGGTCTGCGTGGTTTCCAGTCTTTTATCGTAAGTGAAGTTGAGATACACATGCATGTGTAAGTAAGTAAGTGACTCAAGATTGTCCGTTTTCTTGAGTGTTTACCTAGGAGTAGAATTGCTAGGCCATAGGGCATAGGTCAACTAAGAAACTGTTGGTTTTTCAAAGCGGATACACTGCGGTCACAGATCTCCTACCAGCAGTGTGTGAGTTCTGGTTGCTCCACATCCCTGTTAGCCTTCAGAGTTCTTTTTAAGTTTTGCCATTCTAGCGGGGAAGAAGGGATCTATCATGGAGGTTTTACTTTGCATTTCTTCGATGAATGATGTTGAACATATTTTTCTGTGCTTCCTGGCCATTTGTTTATTGTCTCGTTTGAAGTGTCTGCTCACATCTTTTGCCTATTTAAGAAAAAATGGGTTATTGACCACTAAGTTGCAAGAGTTTTATTTTGAATACAAGACCCTTGTCAGGTATATGTATTATAAATATTTTCTTAATGTGAAGTTTGCATTCCTATTTTTACTAATGTTTTTTGAGGAATACCAGTCTTTTATTTTCATGAAGTCCAATTTATAATTTTTTTCTGTGGCTAGTGCTTTTTGTGTCCTAAGAAATGATGCCTTTTTCCTATATTTTTCTTTAGAAGCTTTATAGTATTAGCTTTTATATTGAGGTCTATGACACATTTCAAATGTATTTTCTTGTATGATGTGAAGTAGGACTTGAGGTCCCCACCCTGCTCCCACACAGGTGTGCACTTGATTGAGCATTATTTTTTTTTTTTTTTTTTTTTAAAGATTTTATTTATTCATTTATTTGAGAGAGTGAGAGCACATGAGAGGGGGGAAGGTCACAGGGAGAAGCAGACTCCCCGCCGAGCGGGGAGCCCGATGCGGGACTCGATCCAGGGACTCCAGGATCATGACCTGAGCTGAAGGCAGTCGCTCAACCAACTGAGCCACCCAGGCGCCCTGAGCATTATTTTTTGAAAAGACTGTCCTTTCCCCACTGAATTGCTCTAGTCAGTGTCAAAAACCAGTTAAGTACGAGTCCTTTTCTGGACTCAAATTCTGTTTCATTGTTCTGCTCATCTCAGAGTAGTTTCAGTTTCAGGCTAACTTTAGAAAGTGTGACTCCTTCCCCAACCAAGTCTCCGTGGTCTGCCTTTTTCAGGGGCCCAGGTAGACCAGTCGGTCTTTGAGGAGCTCATCAAGGAGCACCTCCCCGAGCTGGCGGAGCACATGAATGACCTCTCCGCCCTCGCGTCCATCTCTCTCTCCTGGTTCCTGACTCTGTTCCTCAGCATTATGCCTCTGGAGAGTGCGGTGAGCGTTGTGGATTGCTTCTTCTACGATGGGATCAAAGCCATTTTCCAGCTGGGGCTGGCCGTGCTGGAAGCCAATGCCCAGGGCCTGTGCAGCAGCAAGGACGATGGCCAGGCCCTCATGGTCCTCAGCAGGTGGGCTCACGGGGTTGGGGTGGCGGGTTGAGGAGGGCTATCACGGGCTCTGCAAAATAGACCAGGTGGAAGCAGCAGCGGGTGCTCAGCAGGGCTGTCACTGTGGAATTTTTCCTTCCACTCTGCCACTTGTCACGCCGTGGTCCCCCCCCCCCCAGCCAGCCAGTGAGGTGGCACTGTTGCCTGCATGTGGTGAAGAGCGCCATCTTCCCGGCTCCTCTCCAGCAAGTGAGGGTACAGGAGGAGAGTGGGCCATCCGCGCTTGTCTCTGGGGAGATACACACTCATAGTGGCCTGGAATGGGGCAGGCAGGCACTGGGAACTGGTGGTCTCAGGCAGCCAGCTGGAGGTTTCGGACGTTTGATGTGTAGGGGCTTGGTGTGTTGCAGTGCAAGAAAAGTCCCACGAGGCCGAGGACTGGAATCTGGCTCTCTTGTAGCTGAGGGCAAGTTGAAAGACAGATGAAAGTTTCCCTTTCAGAATACTGTGGAAGCTTACGGTGGCACGTGTATGCACAGAACTTTGTGTTGACTTCACCAGAGTCCCAGGTCTCTGCAAACCTACCCATGGGGCCCAGATGAACAAGTCTGGCTTTAGGCGTGTCTCCTTTCCTCTAAAGGAGCACAGTAGTTATCTTGCCCTCCTCCCAGTGTTTGGAGACGGATGAGCTGGGTCTGAAAGTGCTCTGAGTCTGAAAGTGCTCTGACATTTCCCCCGGCCCCTGGGAAGGTAGCGGGTGGGGTGCGGTTCGCAGGCGAGGGGAAACCAGTGCTTCAGTGGTGGGTTGTGTGCTCAGGTTTCTAGATCACATTAAGAATGAGGACAGCCCTGGACCCCCCGTCGGCAGCCACCATGCCTTTTTGTCCGATGACCAGGAGCCCTACCCTGGGACTGACATTGCCGACCTGATCCGGGACTCCTATGAGGTAACTGGGCCTGGCCCCGTCCCCACCCTCATCCTCCGGGAAACCTGGTCAGAGATGGGTGTTGAGGGACATTCGTTTCTCTGCAGAAATTTGGAGACCAGTCTGTGGAGCAGCTCGAGCACCTGCGCTGTAGGCACAGGATCAGGGTTCTCCAGGGCCACGAAGATACCACAAAGCAGAACGTAGTGAGTCATGGGTTGTCAGAATGGCAGTTGGGCGCGAACCTGGGCTCTGTTCCTGTGGATCTCATGAGAATGCCAGCTTTTGGGGCACCTGGCTGGCATGTGACTCCTGAACCTTGGGGTCCCGAGTTTGAGCCCCACGTTGGGTGTAAAGATTACTAAAAGTAAACTAAAGAAAACTTAAGAAAAAGAATGCCACCCCACCCCCCTGCATTGAATTAGGGTGACCTGGCATAGAAACGGGTTTGAGAGTCAGACAGATTGTGAGCAATTTAAGCCCCGTGAGCCTCAATTTCCCCAGTTGTAAAGGAGGCTACTAATAGCCAGCATCTGGGATTAAACGAGATACGATATAGAAAATGCCTGGCACGGAAGGCCTGCAGTGTTGTTCTTCGGGAGGAACTTCCTGCCCCAGCCTCGTCTTTGCTAGAGTTTGACTTCCACTAAACTCACACGTTTGTCCCCAGGCACTGATGTGTGAATTGGCAAGGCTGAGGGTAAACACCTTGAGAAAGTTACCATAACGTGATCCTGGCATCAGAAAGGAACAGATTGCTCTGGTAGACAGGACTTGCGCCTGGTGTCCCCCACGAGCAAGAAGAGCCCCCCCGTTCCCTTTGATCCTCCCAGGTGCAGGCAGAGAATTCATTGCTGTTGGTTCTTTCCTCAAGCTCCGCGTTGTTATCCCAGAAGTCTCCATTCCTCCTGAAGACCTGGAAGAACTCTATGACTTATTCAAGGTAGGAAACTCTGGGAAGATGAGGGAGTGACAGGCCCCAGCCCACGTTGTCACCTGCCCCACCTGCCAGCTCCGTCTTCGTCTCGCCTGCCCCTACAGCTCACACAAGCGCTGTGCTCTGCAGAAGGCCTTCCTTCCGTGCTGGTAGCCCGTTCCACACTGTTCTACACGAGTTCCCAGGCCTTGGTGGATGGAACAGTGACCATTACTGACATTCCCACCTCTTATGCTTTATGAGGACTCCTAACCCCCCCATAATACATGTAGACATATTTTTATATTTGGCTGGTACATGTGCTACTTTATCTTCTATTTTCCCTCGGTACTGTTATTAACACTTTTCCATGTTGCCACATAGTCTTACTCATTTTAAAATAGCCTTATAATCTATCAGATTGGTAATAGTAAATAAACCATATTTCTAATATTTAGATATTTAGGTGGATTCTCAGGTCTTGCTACTTACTTAAATCACCCAGCAAAGAACATTTTCAGGTGCCCTGCTGGAAGCGTCCTTGCTTGAAAGAGTGGATAAAAGTGGGGCAGGGAGACAGGCACAGTGATCCACTCCTGATAGCCTGGCAGTGAGTCCCCACACCTACATGCAGCTACACCAGTGGTACAGTTTCTGTGGGATGGGGCCCTTCGAGATGCACAAACCAAACTGTAGCCTGTATTACTAAAATGTGTTTGATTTTTCAAATTTCAGTTCCACTGATGATGCCTGAGAGTGCTCATTTCCTACACTCCACACTCACCTAGCGTTTATTATAGATCTTTTGCAATTTTGCTAGTCTTGTAGAAAATTGCATTTTATTTTAATTTAAATTTATCCATTAGCGAGGTTGAGTACCATACAGATAATTGTGTACTTCTTTGTATCACCTGCTTATATCCATGGTCTTTTTTTTTTTTTTATATCAGTTTGTTTTTCTGTAGGATTCTGTGTAAACTGATTGCTTCAGTCCTTGGCTTACTTATTATAACTGTTTTCTTGGCAGGATTCTGTGGGTCTTAAGCATCACAGGATGCACAGATACACAATGGACTTTAGTAGTGTGTCTTGGGTTTTTAGGAATGGAAATTTCATTAGACCGTTGTCTCACACTGAAAAGTTCTTGGGGTATTTTTCACAATTCTGCAAAGGCTATTCGAAGAACTTGACTGCCAACAAGTATGACAGTAAAATTATAAATGGCATTTTGGTTTCCATCCAAGGATCTGTGCTTACGTGTTACAGCCTCCATATTCGTTTCCGCGCCACCGGGATGGGGGGAGGACACTTCTGCATAGAAGCCCGCAGTCATTGGGAATTACTTCAGTGAGCCGAGACGTCCCAGGAGGTGACTTAGCATGGATGTAAGAGATGCGTCCTAAAGAGGCAAACCTCAGGGACAGGGCCAGTTTTGATTGCTCTGGTTGTCAGTGTATTCCCAAGACTTTGAATCACTTTTTTTTTTTTTTACTTCCAGTTTTTTGAATTGTTAATATATTCATCTGGTTCAAAATTTATAAGAAGGTATGCAGTAAAAAGACTTGGTTCTGGGGCGCCTGGGTGGCTTAGTTGGTTAAGCTTCTGCCTTCAGCCCAGATCATGATCCCAGGGTCCTAGGATCGAGTCCCACATCGGGGACTGCGGGGAGTCTGCTTCTCCCTCTCCCTCTGCCTCTCCCCACTGCTCGTGCACTTGCTCTTTCATGCGCTCTCTCAAATAATAAAATCTTAAAAAAAAAAAAAAAAAAAAAAAAGACGACTTGGTTCTACATTTGAGTCCCCACCCGTATGTTCCCTCCCCACAGGCAACCAGGGCAACTGGTTTCTTCTGTATTCTGTAGATCTGTCTAGCACTTTTTCATTTTCAGATGTGATTTGATGAGAAAATAGAATAAAAATTAGGTCTCCTAGAATTAAAACTATGGCAGCTGAACTGCACATTGAAAAATGGTTAAAATGGTAAGTTTTGTTAGGTATTGTGTGCTACAATAAAAAGATCCTAGAGAAAGAGGTCAAAATTACATATTCTTGTGGGCAAGAAGTGTAAGATAACAAGGGAGATCTTTTACTTGTCTTGTTAGAGTAATGAGATTGTAAGTACTTTAATTTTTTTCATTTGTTCGTGTTATAATGTTCTTATTCAATACATAATTTATGAGGCCAAGTGAGTCCTGAGAGAAGGCCAAGTTAACTTTGGCTTTTAAGCATGCAGCCCCCCACAGGCCCCCATCTCTCATAGATCCCTCTCTCCCTCTTGTTTGAAGAGAGAGCACATGATGAGCTGTTACTGGGAGCAGCCCCGGCCCATGGCCCCGCGCCACGACCCCAGCAGGCCTTACGCAGAACAGTACCGCATAGATGCCCGGCAGTTTGCACACTTGTTTCAGCTTGTCTCGCCATGGACCTGTGGGGCCCACACGGAGATCCTCGCGGAGAGGACTTTCAGGCTCCTGGATGACAACATGGACCACCTGATCGAATTCAAAGCATTTGTGAGCTGTCTCGGTAGGACCCTGTGGGTCTTCACTGCAGTGAGTTAATTTGGGACAGGAGTCTGTGAACACAAGACAGGGAGCAAGTAGATCCACACAATGAAGTGTATTAGGGACTGGCCTGAAATTAAAATCTTTCAGAAGGTATGAGGCCAGACAAAATTCACGAAGTTGTCTTGCAGCTCAAGAATGACCTTGTAGGTTTTCATTTCAAACACTGTGTGTCTGGGGGAGGGGCAGGGAAGTATTGGGTGAACAGGTACAGACCGTACTAAGTTCTCTCCCCCCAGTGAGTTTGTGTCACAACAAATGTACTTTAACCATTTGCATCTACTCATTCTCTCTCTCTCTTTTTTTTTGGCAGATGTTATGTATAATGGAGAAATGAATGAGAAAATCAAACTGTTATATAGACTTCACATCCCTCCCGGTAAGAAATTCTACCGAGAAAACATAGGTTCTGTTCTGCTTTGACACAAGTTAAGCTTTGTGTGTGACTCTGAAGTTGTTCTCTTTTCAAATTTCATTTAGACTTGAGTCAACAGATGTTTCTAATCTGGGGTTGCTGATAACAGATTTTCAGTACTGGACTGTATAGCCTATGACAGCGGTTGCCAAACTTGAGGGTGCATCGGAATCATCTGGAGGGCTTGTTAAAACCCAGGTTCCTGGGCGCCCGCCGCTCCAGAGTTTCCGGCTCCCTGGTTCTGAGGACCACGCTTTGAGAACCACTGGCCTGTGGAATGTGTGGGGAAGCAGACCCTGGTTGCCTTAATAGGTGGCTATTTAAGCCTCTTTTGAAGGACCATTCCATTCGTCCAGCATGTAAGACCATGCTTCCCTCAAGTTTAAGCAGGTAACTGGGAACAAAGAAATCAGTTTTGAAACCTATGAGGTTATACTTGGCCATAACCTTAAAGTATTCCTTGGATCTCTGAAAGTCACAGAGGTGGCTTAGTAATGCCAACATGGTGTCTGGACCCCAGTGTTTCAGGTGTACAACAGAGTGATTCAACAATTCTGTACATTACTCAGTGCTCTTAATCCCCATCACCTAGTTCACCCATCCCCCCACCTTCCCTCTGGTAACCACCAGTTTGTTTTCTGTAGTTAACAGTCTGTTTCTTGGTTTGTCCCTTTTTTTTCCTTTGCTTGTTTGTTTCTAAAATTTCACTATGAGTGAAATCACATGGTATTTGTCTTTCTCTGACTTATTTTGCTTAGTATTATACTCTCTAGCTCCATCCATGTTGTTGCAAATGGCAAGATCTCATTCTTATGGCTGAATAATATTCCACTGTATTATATATTGCATATATATATATGCCACATTTTCTTTATCCATTCATCAGTCGATGGACACTTGGGCTGCTTCCATAGTTGAGCTGTTGTAAATAATGCTGCAGTAAACATAGGGTGCATATATACCCTTTGAATTAGTGTTTTTGTATTTCTGGGGTAAATGCCCAGTAGTGCAATTACTGGATCATAGGGTAGATCTATTTTTTAATTTTTTGAGGAAACTCCATACTGTTTTCCACAGTGGCTGCACCAGTGTGCATTCCCACCAACAGTGCCCAAGGGTTCCTTTTTCTCCACATCCTCGCCAACACTTGTTTCTTGTGTTGTTGATTTCAGCCATTCTGACAGGTGTGAGGTGATAACTCACTGTAGTTTTTATTTGCATTTCCCTGATGAGAGTGATGTTGAGCATCTTTTCATGTGTCTGTTGGCCATCTGGATATCTTTGGAGAAATGTGTATTCATGTCTTCTGCCCATTTTTAAATTGGATTATTTGTTTTTTGGATATTGAGTTGTGTAAGTTCTTTATATATTTTGGATATTAACCCTTTATCAGGTATGTCATTTGCAAATACCTTCTCCCAATCCAATGATTGCCTTTTGTTTTGCTGGTTGTTTCCTTTGATGTGCAGAAGCTTTTTATTTTGATGTAGTCCCAACAGTTTATTTCTACTTTTGTTTCCATTGCCTATCTAGAATAATGGAGGAGACCTATCTAGAAAAATGTTGCTACGGTTGATGTCAGAGAAATTACTGCCTGTGCTGTCTTCAAGGATTTTTATCATTTCAGGTCTCACATTTAGGTCCTTAATCCATTTTGAGGGTTTTTTTTTTGGTTTATGGTGAAAGGAAGTGGTCCAGTTTTCTCAACACCATTTGTTGAAGAGACTTTTTCCCATTGGATATGCTTTCCTCTTTTGTTGAAGATTAATTGATCATATATTTGTGGGTTTATTTTTGGGTTTTCTATTCTGTTCCATTGATCTATGTGTCTCTTTTTCTGCCAATACCATGCTGTTTTGATTACTAGTTTTGCAATATAAGTTGAAATCTGGAATTGTGATACCTCCAGTTTTTTCAAGATTGCTTTGGCTGATATTCAGGGTCTTTTGTGGTTTCATACAAATTTTAGGATTGTTTGTTCCAGTTCTGTGAAAAATGCTGCTGGTATTTTGATAGGGACTGCATTAAATCTGTGGATTGCTTTGGGTAGTATGGACATTTTAACAATATTTCTTCTTCCAACCATGAGCATGAAATGTCTTTTCATTTCTTTGTGTTGTCTTGAATTTCTTTCATCAATGTTTTATAGTTTTCAGAGTACAGGTCTTTCACCTCCTTGGTTAAGTTTATTCCCAGATATCTTATTTTTGGTTAATTGTAAATGGGATCGTTTTCTTAATTTCACTTTCCGCTGCTTCATTATTAGTGTATACGAATGCGGTAGATTTCTGTACATTGATTTTTGTATCCTGCGACTTGACTGAATTCATTTATTCTAGTAGTCTAGTAGCTTTTTGGCAGTCTCTAGGGTTTTCACTATATAGTATCATGTCACCTGCAAATAGTGAAAGTTTTTTTTTTTTTTAAACATTTTATTTATTTGAGAGAGAGAATGAGATAGAGCATGAGAGGGGGGAGGGTCAGAGGGAGAAGCAGACTCCCCGCTGAGCAGGGAGCCCGATGCGGGACTCGATCCCAGGACTCCAGGATCATGACCTGAGCCGAAGGCAGTTGCTTAACCAACTGAGCCACCCAGGCGCCCAAATAGTGAAAGTTTTAATTCTTCCTTATGGATTTGCATGACTTTTATTTCTTTTTGTTTTCTGATTGCCATGGCTAGGACTACCAGTAGGATGTTGAATAAAAGTGGTGAGGGAGACATCCTTGTTCTTGACCTTAGGGAAGAAGTTCTTTTTCCCCATTGGGTATGATGTTAGCTGTGGGTTTTTCATATAAGGCCTTTATTACATTGAACTATGTTCCCTCTAGACCTACTTTGTTGAGAGTTTTTATTGTGAATGACGATGCAGGGCTTGATCCCAGGACCCCAGGATCATGAGCTGAGCTGAAGGCAGACGCTTAACTGACTGAGCCCACCCAGGTGCCCCTAACATTTGAATTTTTGTTGCAGTTAAAGATAAGTCTTAATAATGCAGACAACCTAAAACCTCTATTTAGACATCAGTTTGCTTAAGGCCATGAAAATCCACAATACATATGGCTCGTTTTAATTTAAATTTAACAAATATTTACTTTCCATCATAACTTTTTGAGTAAAGGCGGGACAAATGCATTAGTGGGGGAAAAAAATCTAACTCACTAATGAGGAAGTATACTGAGGATTACAAGTTTGAATTTGTATGTGCAGAAAGTCATGTCTCATTTGCCAGATGAGGGAGACATGGTACAAAACAAAGCCTCAAACACCCACCTTGTGCAGAGCTCTTGGAACTCTGCAAGGGTATTATGGAGGGCAAAGGGCTTTTGTGAGCTTGCTTTTACAAAGGTATCTGATGCAACTCAGGAAGCAAGGAAGTGCTAAGCCCAGGCCCTCACAGTTCTGGAAGAGCTCTCTTTATTGGCTCCATAGTGATTGCAACAGTGTGTGTTTAGCAGAGGAAATAGAAGAGAAATAGTCCAGATGATGTGATGCTCTATCAGGTGAAGTTGGGATGAACAGTATTCCAGAAGATTATTAAATCAGGGATTTTCACTGCAGATTGATAAATCTACACATATTGGTCATTTTGCTCAGTTAATTATACTAATTGGACGTCCAGAAGACCATTTCCTGGAAGAACATTAGATTCCTTAGAAAGAAGCATCAGAGCAAGGTACCGAGAATGCTATATTGGAAATGGTAAATGAGCACAAAGTAGACACTGGAGGCTTTCTGTAAAAGAGCATACCGAGCCTGGAGCTGACGTCACCAGCTCCTCCCAGAAATGCGGAGATTTAGGGAATATGTTGTTAAGGTTGCAGAGCAGCTTCTCCACAGGGGTCCTGCTGGTCTGGACCTGATCTTCAAGTGTTCAATCTAATACAATTTGGGCTGCTCCAGTCTTGTGTTCTTTATGTGAAGAAATAGGTTTCTTTTTGAGGCCTTACAGACACCAAAGTGCATTGCTGGGTTTTGTCAAGAAGTGGAGTTAAAAGGAAAAATCTTACAGATAATTCCAATTTGCCATTTGATTAAAGATAGTTTTTTTTTTTTTTTTAAAGATTTTATTTATTTATTTGACAGAGAGAGACACAGAGAGGGAACACAAGCAGGGGGGAGTGGGAGAGGGAGCAGCAGACTCCCCGCGGAGCAGGGAGCCCGATATGGGGCTCGATCCCAGGACCCTGGGACCATGACCGGAGCCGAAGGCAGATGCTTAACAACTGAGCCACCCAGGCGCCCCAAGGTAGTTATTTTAAAAAGGACTTCATGTTGAAAACCTGAATGGACTTAACTGAAAACTGAAAGCACACATGAAAATATATTAACATGTGCTAACAAAGTTTGGATTCTAAGCAAAAATACAACCAAGAATGAGGTTTTAAATACTTAGTGATGTTTAGCCAGTGTTAGAATTTGAATCCTGAAATGTAACTGTAGACAAATATAGCAGTATCTGTGTGCGAAAGAGGAAAAGCTTTGTTATTTTCAAATACTCGATATAAAAATATTAATTAGTGGGCGCCTGGGTGGCTCAGTCGGTTAAGCGTCTGCCTTTGGCTCAGGTCATGATCCCAGGGTCCTGGGATGGAGCCCCACATCAGGCTTCCTGCTCAGTAGAGAGTCTGCTTCTCTCTCTCTCCCTCTGCCCCTCTCCACTGCTCATTCTCTCTCTCAAATAAAATCTTTAAAAAACAGATTCAAACACCAGTCATAGTAGCCAAAAAAAATTCAGCATTACATTTGTCAATAAGGGAGAAGCTGTTTGATTATGCACACTTTAAGTAAAACACATTTGAGCCATTCAAATTCTTGGTAATGACACTTGCTTCCACCTCTTGTCCGAACAGTTTCTAATGGTGATAGCTTGTTTTGAAGAGGTCATTATTTACAAGTCCTAATAATGGATCCAGCCAAGATCAAGAACTTCTCTCAGAGAATGGATAAGTCAGTTGGAGGAAATAATGATTCTGATAATGCATGACATGCCAAGGAAACTTACAAAGGTCAGCTTTTCACAGGACACATGAAAATGATAAGACTGCATTCTTGTTTAACAACTTAGGCAGCACTGATACCAACTACATCAGAAATGACACCAGGCACATTCACTTTGGTGATGGACCACTTAAGCTACACAAAAGATCTGTCCTTTAGATTGGAGTTAAAAATGCAAAAGAGGATTTTGAAAAATATGAAAGGTGTAGAATACAAACCTCCTAAAAACTTTTGATATTGTAATATTGCATTGAACATTTTAGAAGAGCTAGGTGCTGAAAATCCCCAGTATTACCTAAATTGTTAAGCCACTAAAATGGATTTGATCCCAGCATCCAGTACTTGTTACATCTCAAGTGATTTTTTTTTAAGATTTATTTGACACAGAGATCAGAGTGGCAGGCAGAGGGAAGAGGGAGAAGCAGACTCCCCGCTGAGCAGGGAGCCTGATGCGGGGCTCAATCCCAGGACCCCTGGATCATGACCTGAGCCAGAGGCAGCCACCCAACCAACTGAGCCATCCAGGCACCCTCAAATGGTTTCCTGAGACCCAAGTTGGATACTTTAGTTGGTTTTCCTATGAAAAACTTGGGTATATTGGAATTCCTAATTAATCCAAATGCAAGTCCTGGCTGCTATAATTTGATTTCTGTTTTCAACCACTGTGGAAGGGTAGGAAGGCACTATTCTGCTTTTGCAAGAAAAAATATGACGAATGGTATTATTTTACTTTTTAAAGATTTTATTCATTTATTTGACAGAGACACAGCGAGAGAGGGAACACAAGCAGGGGGAGTGGGAGAGGGAGAAGCAGGCCTCCCGCTAAGCAGGGAGCCCGATGCAGGGCTCGATCCCAGTACCCCGGGATCATGACCAGAGCCGAAGGCAGACGCTTAACGACTGAGCCACCCAGGTGCCCCTCGAATGGTATTATTTTAATCACTGTAGTGTCTCACCTGCATCTGAAGGCCAAATTGTGTTGAAAGCAGTGTATGTACTCTTCTACCAGAGATAAGACACCGTAGAACTGGCTTTTCCCCTCCATGAGAATCCCATTTAGAAAGTGACGAAGATGGTGGTGGTGATGACAATGATAGAGAATGAAAACTATGCAGCCCAACTAATCTAAGCCCTTGAAGCCAGAGAAGAGACTTCCCCGCTGGTGGCATTTACTGAAGCCATGAAATTATCTACCACATTAAAACAAGTTTGAGCTAGCAAATGTAAATCCTTCAAGAGATGTTAACTTGTGCAGTATTTGAAGTGAGACACAATGAAAACTTTAATAGAAATGTCTCTTAATTCATTTATAGTCTTAAATTACAAGACTATATATTACTTATATCAACATAAAAATGTTACATTTATGAAAGTTCAGATACCTCATGTAGAAAGGTCGAAAGGACAAAGATTGTATATAAATAACCTTTACTACTGTCCCTTAATTAATGCATTGTATCTGTATTTCTGACCATCAGTATCTGATAACTGAGTGTTTTCAGTGAGCTCCAAGCCTCTTCCAGTGTCCCCTAGTGCCCAGGCTGGGCGGTGGTGGTTTCCATGTTACAGATTGCAAAGATGGTTGGCGGGCCTTTCTGGCTCCTTGCAACTATTGAATCTTTACCGGTCTCCTTTCTGGACACTTGCTCTCCACTTGAATTAGCCATTCCTCTCTCTGTTCCCATGACATTTGGTTGTATCGGTCTTCTGTTAGAGCATTTTGTTAGTGACTTGTGTATACAGTTCACCTTTCTGAGGCATAGGGACCCAGTATCCTCTTGACATCTAGCAGCTGTTACCTAAAAAATCTGTTACTGTCATGACTGCCCCAAGGACCATCCAGGGCTTATAATTTTCCTCCTATTCAATATGAGTGGATGCTCACATGTGCCACTGTGTAGAATTTTTGTACAAGGTTGGAAAAATGACAATATCATTTACAGAAAAACCCCAAAACTCCAAACTCCTCCCACCCCTCAAATGCAGGAAACTGATCTCCTAAACACGAAGGAGAGTAGCTTATCAAGGCTTTGGTGCCATCTTGGGGATATTTGTTGGATTACAACTGATTTTTGCCTTTTATTTATTCTGAGTGGCTTTACTATTAAATATGAGGATCCTGTGTCCATAATACTTTGTAATTACTCGTAAGAGCTTTTTGATCTAATTCACATACCGTACAGTGCATTCTTTTAAAATATACACAATCCAGTGATTTTTAGTATCTTTAGTTATACAACCATCATCGCAATTTTAGACATTTTCATCACCCTAGAAAGGCCCATACCCTTTGGCTCTTGCTCCCAATCCATCCATTTTGCCCTGCTTTCTGTCTTTATAGAATTGCCTGTTTTGGGATATTTCTTATAAATGGAATAATGCAATGTGCCATTTTGTGTCTTGCTGCTCTGTTTTCAAGGGTCATCTGCGTTGTAGCATGTCTCAGTGCTTATTCCTTTTATAAATGAATTTGATAGTCCCTTTGATAGGTATGCCTTAATCTATCCATTCATCAGTCGGGACACTTGGGTTTGTTGCCACCTCTTGGCTCTTGTGAACAGTGCTCCTATAAATATTTGTGTACAAGTTTCTGAGTGGGTGTGTTTTCATTTCCCTTTGGTATATACGTTAAGAGTGGAATTTCTGGTTCAAATGGTAATCCTATGCTTAATTTCTCAACAAATTGCCAGACTTTTTCAAAATGGCTGTGCCATTTTCTATTACCGGCAATATAATGTTCTGACTGTATTTTTGTATATTTCAAGAAAACTTGTAATGATAAAATGCTTTGGATTCAGTAATTTTTTCAATTGTTTTTAAAAATTTAGCAAGTATAGCAGTATGTGCTCACCATAGGAAAAATGCCATGAAATTGAAAATGATTACTCCACCATCCAGAAATCTAGTTGTACATTTATTTCTAGAATTTATATGTATATACACATATATTTTAAGTTTTAGGAAAGGATTTTATTACATTTTCCCAGGTCAGTATTGGCAGTGTCCTGTGAATTTGCATTTCATTAATTAAAACAGTATCTAAATTTAAAAAAGGCATTACCTGGTCTGTAAGATGTTTTCTTTACTCTTTGTATCCAGATGGTGCTTGGTGTACACCTGGGTTCATGGTCCCTGCAGCCCGTAGGCTGCTGGCTTAGCCTTTACTTCTTTCTTACATAAAAAGCTAAATTACTGACAGTTTGGGGTAAGATGGAATGATTTGTTCAATGTAACTTTTTTTTAAAGCACTCACTGAAAATGATCGAGACAGCCAGTCACCACTAAAGAATCCTCTATTGTCGACGTCAAGACCCCTGGTTTTTGGGAAGTCAAACAGTACGTACCTCTCTTCGTTATCTTCCAGCAGGCACACGCTGCAATCGTTAGCAATTTCACAGCTCTTAGAAGAGGACATACCTAGTTCCCTCCCTCCTGTGAATCAACAGCCCACTGCTTTCAGAGGCCAGAAGCCTTTTAAGTTGCAGTGTACTGGGTGACTGCCCCCCGCCACCACCATCGGATCTATTCCTCTAGCCTAAGGTTTCAGGGATTCTCTTGTAGCAAGAAGTCACCCAGCCGCCACACTCCATTCAGTCAGTTGTAGATCAAACTCTCCAGTATGTAATCTCTATTTTCAGTTTGTGTGTGCAATTTGCTTGGTGGAATTCCTCCCTTACCACCTGGTTCTACCGATGTTCCTTCTTGCTTTCACTGAATTTTAGCTTAAAGTTTATATTGTGTTTCCTGTGTCTCCAGGTGGTGCAACTGATTATCAGAAACAGCTGAAGCAAATGATTAAGGATTTAGCCAAAGAAAAAGATAAAACAGATAAAGAGTTGCCCAAAATGAGCCAGGTATGGACTAAGTGCAGAGTTAAAGGTTTTGCCAAATGATTTGTTCAGAGGTAAGCTTGATAGTTAAGCTGGGGCCCCTCAACCGCCAAAGCCATAATCAAAGGATCTTCTAATTTCAGGAGTTGAATGTTGTGGTGATTAAAAGGGAATTATTTAAACTGTGACCCATTCAGATACACTAGATATTCGAAACTCCTTACAGCAGGAGGCTGTGCCACATCCTATCAAGTTTCTATATCCTACTCCTATATTCACTTAGGTTGTGATGATTTATTGCCTAGAGTTGATAGCATTTGGGGGTGGGGGGCACTGTGGACACAGCATTCTTCCCTTAGAAGGGATTACTGTTCTCTCTTCAGTTTCTTAAAAATCATTGGCTATATAATATACAGTACTGGTAAGGCTCTTCAAAACCTTTGAGCAGTATCTAGCCTACATTGAAGTGCCATGATGGGGCTAGGTTTTTATTTGAAAAAGATTCCTCCCAAAGTTTGTGAAATGTAGGCTTCAAGTTGGAAATGTTCCTTTATTAAAGGATTTCATTCTTTTTGGTGCTAATGTGTACTGTGAGCCTTCACGAGCGAATTTAGCATGCAGTGTTTCTTGGTCTTTTTTGACTACAGAATATGTGGCATTAACACTTCCTTGAGTATTTCAGAAGTGTTGGGGAGTTTCAAGTTTTCATTCTACCTCTTGGATATAGTCACATTCCAATGCTGTTGATCAATTACACCTCAATTAAAAAAAGTCACATCTCATCCCCCCGAGCCACCAGTACTAACATTCTGATATACGTGACGACAGTTTTTGCTATGAACAAAAATAGGCTGTCCTAACACCTTGCTTTCATTTACTTCAAAATCATGGAGCTCTCTCCTAAATTAGTTCTCAACCATGTCCCTATTCCCAGAGTAAATATATAGCTAAGTCCCACTGGAACTTTCATCACATTACATTCAGATTCTCCCAGCTGAGCAGCCGTGTGGCTATAACTTGAAAAAGCATCAGGCATCACTGTTTTGTTTTATTTTACGGCTTTTAGTTACCCCATCGTATTCCTATCAGATGAACAAGCTATAATTTTATTTAGTCATAGTATTTAAGCCATTTCTAACTTTGTTCCTATTGTAAATCCTAGATTAAACACCATTATAAACAAGTCTCTCTAGCTTTTGGATCCATTTCTACAGATTGATTTGCTGGATTAAAGGGTGCACACCTTTCTGAGTAGTCGCTCTCTAGACAAATAGCACACTTTGAAGTGTGTGGTGAAAGTCCCTGGAGTCACTGTTAGTAGTATGTTTTCAGGGTAGAAGGGCCAACTGCCTTTTCTTGTAATCGGCTTCAAAGAGTACGATGTGGTTTTCTCTAAGAACTTAGTATGAAGTTTAAAAAAATGCATTATACTTCCATCCTGGTTATGCTGCTATATGTACTTTTATATTCCAGAGAGAATTTATCCAGTTCTGTAAAACTCTGTATAGTATGTTCCATGAAGATCCAGAAGAAAACGATTTGTATCAAGCCATCGCCACGGTAACCACTCTGCTGCTGCAGATCGGGGAAGTGGGGCAGCGAGGCAGCAGCTCTGGAAGCTGCTCCCAGGAAGGCGGGGAGGAGCTGCGGGCTCCAGCTCTTTCTCCAGAGCAGGACTCGGTTTTTGCGGACACCAGCCCTGGCAAGATTGCCCAGGACTCCCAGACATTTCCTGAAGAGGCAGAAGGGGACTGGACTGTGTCCCTTGAGCATATTTTAGCTTCACTTCTGACTGAACAGTCATTAGTCAACTTTTTTGAAAAGCCGCTGGACATTAAATCCAAACTTGAAAATGCCAAGATCAATCAGTACAGTCTCAAAACTCTGGAAATGAGCCGCCAATCACAGCCTGAACTCAAGCTGAGTAACCTGTAGCAGGAGAGCAGTTTGCAGAGACGAGTCTGCCATACCAAAGCACGGAACAGTTTTGTGGGTTGTCAGCCCTAAAATCCAGATTTTAATTGAATTCATTTTGAGTGTATTTTACAAGCTGGGTATCTGGATAAGCAGCCTGACAGCCACAGCTGTGGCCAGGGGAATTGATGCAACCCTCAAGCATTTCTATTAAGAGAATTATTAGTTGGATATTACAGTGCGATAGGGTATCCATACATTAGTTCCCTTGATGCCGTGACTTGCAATTTCACTTTTATCAGATTTTCTGAAATTTCAGGGCACTTCTGCTGTGATGCTAGTATGATTTCATTCTCAGATGGAACAGAAGAGTCAAATGTATCATACCAAACCAGACAAAAGCCCAAGCTCTCATTTTTCACTGGGATAATGGGGGAGAGGTCACAAATCAAGTTCACTTTCAAGATCCAAGAGCCACTATCTGTGCAATTGTATTTGGCTTTTTTTGCACTAATTTTGTTTCAATGCTGGTAATTGAAACCATTTTAATATATTTGGTTGTATTCACTTTGTCCTTACAAAAATGTTGTGTACAAACCATGCTTTCAATGTTGGCCTCCAAGTTTTTTAATAAATAAATTTTTGTATTGACTCGGTTCTTATAATTTATACTCGTGTCTAGAGGGATCGCTTGCCACTCTCCTCCGTGAATTGTGCAATACACGGTAGGTGGTCCTTACCCCCCACTGCTTCTACTCCCGTCACCCCTGGGGCTTCAAAAAGAGGGCCCTCTTTAGAGCAGCACTCAGTATGTCAGGGGTGTTAAGAATCCCTGCCACACTGCTTTCAGGCTGAATTTAGCTGATTTTTAACCCCCCCCCCCCCCCGAGCTTCAGGTCCATGTAAACTGGGATTAAAAACACTTCAGGGGGCTGTTACAAAAAGGTAAGCTGTACATATGAATTGTACACCTAAGCCATATATATGGTTACCCATCAAAAATCAATTAGACTCTTTTATACCTTTTGACAAGCATACTCAACACAGATATAAACAGAAACTTAGGGACATACTATCAAATACAGTTCATTAAATCTATCAATTACATCATTTAAACTTGTTCAAATGTGAAAGGTGGCCAGTGGTAATTGAGTTCTACATGCCAGTCTCTAGAAAATGTTCCTTGGAATTAACAGTATACCTCCAATGTCCCAGGTACCTAAAAGGTGTTCCCAGGCCAGCACATCACCTTTAAAAACATGCTTAGGCTCTACCCAAATACTCAGAAATCCCAGGGGCTGGGGAGAAGGGGCACAGGCATACCATTTAGGAAAAGCTGTCCAAACGATCCTATGTAATTGGAACTGCATAGAGATACTACAGTTGACTCTTGTATTACATGGGTCCACTTACATGTGGATTTTTTTGATAGAGTACTGTAAATATATTTTCTGATTTAATTTTTTCTCTAGCTTGCTTTATTGGTAAATTTTGGGTAGTTGACTATAATCTGTGCCTCTAACCCTTATGTTCTTCAAGAGTCAACTGTATACTGCAACTAAAAAAGGAAAACCAAAACATGAAGCAGTTTTATACCTTTATTTGACAATCAGCGATTAGTTCTCATCCACATTAACTGTCTGCAGATCTGCAAAAGAGACAGCCAGTCAACTTCCATACCCACACCTCACACTTTTAACATTCCAAAAACCTTTTCTTGAAGTAAACGGTTTAGGCTAGTATTCCATGACCTTTCTACAACCCAGATATGGACCTGTTTTGTATCTTCCTCCATTGCCCCACCGCCTAACACGAAGGTTTACTGATTATGCCTGTTACCTATTTCCCTATTAGAAGGATGCTGGGTATATAGACGCACAATTATTTGTTGAGACAGACGAATTCGGGTTCTAAAGGGTAAGGATGCTTTTCTAATCCAAACAGCAGCTTTGTAGGATGGAGTAAAACTTACTTTTGAAAGTGGTGACAGGTACATAGGTAACCAGTGTGTAGAGCTTGTTTGGTGAATCTTCATCCTCGTTACGTTTTCTGGACAACCGCACACGGATACGGTATGGAACATTCCTAATAAAAATATGAATGTGCTGCTCAAGTCAATGCTTCCTGTCAAGAAAATAGCTGCCAACAGTACTGACGCCTCCTATCCCCACATCTTTAACATGCTTCTAATGCTCTGTCCTTTATGTGCATCTGCTCAGGCGCTACAGGCCCAGTTCCCTGGAAAATATACATCCCCACAGGTGGACGTTAAATGCTACCATCTCAGGATATATACTGGTCTTAGCAGGCAGCAACCACTGATACTCAACCTACGCAGAAACACAGGCTCAAACATGCTAGGTCTTTCCCCTCTTATCACCAACACCCACATCGTGGTTACAGAATTTGTCTATAGTCCATGTAATTTTGCAGAAACACCACTCTGCAGGCTACATTCAACAGAGAAGACTGTTCCGTTCCCCTCCCTCATACACACAAGCCTCTCCTCTCGCCAACCACAGCAGCATTACGGTGGCCTATCTCCTTTAATTGGTCTGAGGACACAAAGCGTTCCAAAACTCAGGACTCCTCTTGGCTTTTGTGACACCACTTCCCACCTCCATCATCATCCTCATCATCTTAAGGGACCTCTTTGGCCACTCCTTTATCAGACACCTCTCCTCTACAAAGAATGCTCACTGCTAGCACGGCAGGGCTGAATCTCAGGTCTCATTCCAGTGATGAAATACCACACAGATGCAAACAGTTGTGCGCCCCCCCCCCCCCCCCGGCCTCCTGATCACCTAGGTCTACTCTAGCACCTTACATCACCCTCCACAGCGAAAAGCACACCCCTTGGCACTACTGACAACTGGTCTGGGGTGTTGTGGGGGTGCTGCCTAGTGCACCGTGGGATGTGTAGCAGAGCCCCTGACCTGTGGGAATCCCCACGAATGACACCAAAGATGCCCAGCCCCCCAATCAGGGAGGGTGGGCAAAAGTGCCCACTGTTAAAAACCACTGTGCCAATTATTCCCCATTATGTCTAGATGCCACATGGTCTATCCCCGTCCTAACTCTCCGTCCTCATTCACTGTTCTAGTCACTTATTCTAGTCCACCTTCACCACCTGTTCCTAGCTCACACCAGATTTGTTCTTCATGCAATGCTCTTACTCAGCCCTCACACTGCTGGCTCCTTCATCACCTGGGTTTCTGTTCACATGCCATGTCAAAGGGCTTCCCTGCAGATGCTACCCCACCCTTTGAGCCATCATCATTTTAAGGAAATACTTCCATATGCTTATTACTGAACTTACAGAAACTGTGCAGAGTTGATTAAAAGCTAGTGTAATTATAAACGTTTTCTAAAAAAAATTTGTAACAAATAATTTTAGCACCTTATTCCTTTGGCCCAGACAGCTTTGTTGAGCCTGGTGTCAATGCGCACATCTGGAGTTCCCATCTCCTTCATGGCAAATTTTCGGATCTCTTTGAGTGCCCGAGGGGCACGCTTCTTGAAACCCCTGAGATTCAAAGTCAATAAATGAATTAAATAAGCACAAAATGAAATGAAATATGTAACGCGCTGTCCTATTTTCATAAAACAAAATCTAAACCAAACCTTAAGGTAGGAATAATCCCCTTTTCCACTACTGTATAATGCCCAGCAGCTGATATTAATACTGGGGACACAGAAAATGCACAATCCCCTTTCAGTGATGTGGGATAGGAGCTCTGCAGATGATCCTAAGAGATGCTGATAGGATATGCTTGAACATAAAATACACATACTATAAAAGTGTCTTCAGATCAAAATATGGATTGTTATATCTTAAGAGATGGCATGTTTTTGAAGATCATTCAATACTAATTCAAAGGTTATTAACTTGGTCTTGGCTAAAATTGTACACATTTCCTCTTGACAACAGTTAATTCTATGAAGCTGTCGGCATGTGTCAGACACTGTCATTAACTCATGTCTGTTCCAACACTTAAATACTATTAACTTGTTGTTTACATGAGGGTACATAAATTCATTTGAATTTCATGTTTTTAAACAATGTGAAAAAGCCAAAACTTTGCTACAGGCTGAAATGGTCAAGCATTTGGACAAGTGAAGGCCATTTCCGGGGGTGGGGGAAAGACCCAAGTCTAAAAAGGTGTCCCCACCACCCAGGACTGTGAAGGTCAGAGAAGCGGCCAGGTCAACCATTCACCTCTGTAACCCAATGCAGGGCCCGGCACATACTAGGTGTTCCACTTTTGTTAGATGGAGTGAATTTTATGAAATTCAATGAAAGTAACACACAGCATGCTAGAGTTAAACATTCTGCTCTCAAATCTTCAGTGATTTCACATGCCTACGAAAGATGACTGCCTTCCCACCCCACTCTGCCTCTTCTCTTACCATCTCCCCCTCTTCCCTTTGCTCTACCCTCATCAGCCTCCTTGCTATTTTTAGAACCTATCAAGCAAGCTCAGTTCATTCACTTAAACACTTGACCATCTAGAAATGCCTGAAATAACAACAGTAGGTCCAACAGACAAAATCCAGTTATTCAGGTAGCTTATATGCAGGTGATACATGGAGTACATGAGACAGTATCAAGTACTACATAGAAAAATAAACCAGGGGAGAGAGAGAGGGAACATGAGGGAAAGGGAATGCAGGTTTAAATAAGATGGCTAAGATGATACTGGAGTTAAGATCTGCAGATCATGAGGGCAGCCATTTAGACATCTGTGAGAAAAGCATTCAGGCAGAAGGAAAAAGTAAAAAAACCAGCTACCTCAATCAGGTACATGCCTGGTATGATTAAGAAAATAAGTAGCCAGCTCATGTGGAATCAGAGCAAGTTGGGCTTCTAGAATAAGGTGGGAAGCCAGGAGGGTTTGAGAGTGGACCAGGTGTTTGGGGGTGGAGGAGGGAACCAGGAGCAGGGACCTGCTAAGTGTAACCATTCAAGTGAGAGAGAAGAGTGGTGGACCAGTGCAATTGATAAAACTGTGGAAGGCAGAGCCAAAAGGACATGCTCACTTGACAATGACTGACACAGGGCAAGCCACAAGAGAAATGCGGAAGTCAGGGGAAAAGGAACACTAGAGTTTGGTTTGCGATGCCTAAATACCCAAATGAACAGTAGATGTATGTCTGAGGCCCTAAGACCAGTTGCTATTACCAAGCATAGATGGAAAAGAGACGGAGTCCTGTGGCTCTTCAACATTAAGAGAATGATGGAAAGAGGATGTGAGGAGGAGGGGTGCCTGGGTGGCACAGTCGGTTAAGCTCTTGGTTTTGGATCAGGTCCTGAGGTTGAGCCCTGCGTTGGGCTCCATGCTCAGCATGGAGTCAACTTAAGATTCTCTCTCCCTCTGCACCCGCCACGGCTCTCTCTCTCTCCAGTAAATAAATCTTTAATTTAAAAAGAGGATGTGAGGAGGAACCACAAAGTTAGAAGCTACAGGAGCGATAAGAAAAGCACAAGACTGTGGAATCTTTGGAAGTAAAACGAATAAGCATTTCCACAGAAAAATGAAGAATAAACTATCAATTGTTACCCATCAAGGAAGGGCTGAGAAATGGCCAAAGGATTCAGGTCTTCACGTCTTCACTTGGGAGTTTTATAACAAAGCAAACAGTGCCTGAAAAACTTGTTTCACACCTATGATTTTCCCAAGTCCCATCATCTGTGTGGCTTTTAAAACAGCACCCTTTCGCCCACTGACGGACTTTCCACCTGGCACTTTTTGCCATTTTGTAATTTCTTACTAAGTAAACTAGAAAGATAGGGTCTTTGATTTCCTGATCTGCACAGTCCAGGATTGTGCCTAATACTCAGTTAAGTGCTTGATATGCTCCCAAAACGAGGGAAGGAAACGTGGTTACTCCCAAGCAGGATTAATGCACAAAGGCACTGGATTTTTGACCCAGAAGCCATCTCAGAGACCCCAGAACACGATGTTTCTTGGCTCACACATGAGAATTCAGTGAAGTACTAGGCCCAATGTGGCTACTACTGCACATTTAAATCCCTCATAAAAATAGTTTTCCTGAGATAAGAGAATGCCCAGTGCAAGAAATTTTGTTTCACACTTCAGTGCCTGAATAGAATGTTTTGCTGTGTAACGTGCTATCAAAAATACCCCCAACCACCCACAATAAAACAGGCCTTCCACGAGACTCAAGAGGCTGCTGCAATGGCACTGTGGATCTCACGAGAAATCCAGGTGTGGCAATATCCCACTTACGCACCATCTGTCTGCAGTGGCTCCCACTACGAGTTCTGGAACGGTGACTATCCCAGAAGTCCAGAGTTAGTACTGCATTCCATTTGTTAAATCAAATAAACACTCTCCCTCAAGCATTCATAGTATTAATGTGAGTCACCCCATCAATCACTAGTGAAAAGAGCCTACTTCAGGAAAATAATAAAGGAAAAATCAAAGACAGATACCAGTTTGCCCCAACTAAAACTATAATCATCTTCCTTAACTAAAAGCCTTGGAAGGCATGGCTTGGAATTCCAGGCTAATAAGGAGAGAACAAAAATCTCTCAGACTCTTCAAATTCCTTCCCGGGGCTACTGACTTGCACACCCCCAGGAACTGCATTATATCAGGTATCAGGATCTCCCAGTCAGAGGATTCAGAGGCTGACTGGTCTCGAATGGAACGCCAGCAAGGGAAGTCACTTTGGTTCTTGAACTGGATGCTGTTCAAGAACTTGCAACAAGAGTGCTGGTATCCTACAAGGAGAGATTCGTGGTTTTGGTCATTTACTTCTGAACTGCCTGCATTTTCTGAGGAAGACCTCGCAAAAGGAAACAAGACAGACTTCCAAGTGTTTCAAATGAAGACTGAACAAGTGCTCCTCCCCAACTGTCACCTCATCATCTTTCAAGTCCACTGCTATTTCAAGACCTATCCAATGAAAGAAGAGCGATATGGTATCCCTTATCTGAATATGTATTAGTGGATTGTGCATTTAATGTTATCCAAGATTAAAGTTAAAAAAGGGAGAGAAACATGAACTTTGATGTTTGCTCACTGTATTAAGGGAATCTGGCCTCTCTGCTGATCTTCTAAAAACCATACTAAGGCAATTTCTCTAAGAAACTTTTATTTCTAATGACTTAGTATGACTCTGGCTAGTCCTCTGTATTGTTGATTCTGGGGCTAATATTCCTGTATGCAGGAACATGACTGGAAGAGGAATGGTGAAGAGAATTCTGTAGGTATACCCTGGAGTACTGCACTTCTCATTGAATAGAGGTGTATATATATATACAAAATTAGGAGATGGGAAGCAGGTTTACCAGCTGACCAGGTCTCATTATTTTTCTCTGGGCCAATTACTACTGAAATCTCCAGTGGAAGTTTTAGGGACAGAATGTCCAGTTAGGGACTTCACTTCTATCCACGGACAGTTTGAAGGCAGTATCAGCCAGAACCCAGAGATGTTCCTTTCCTGTTTCTGCACATGTAGGCCTTCCCCAAAGCTCTTCACCAACATGCAAACCTACTTACAGCCACCCCTCAGCCCTGGCCCATGACTTCCAGGGGACAAAGTTAAACCAATCTCGCTCCAGGTTTCTGGTTGCCAGTCATACTCTGCCATTTTAGAGAATGGCTGTTAAGGGGACAAGAATTTGTGTGGGTCTTTACCTTAACCAGTTAACAAGGTGGTGTTTTTTTCCCCAAAAGGCAGGGACTGTAATTTAGCCCAAGAATTTCGCTACCACTTTCCTCTATTACTCTGAGGAGCTTAGTATCAAAATTCTGACCTTAGACACTTGGTCCTCGAGAGCAGGACATTCAGGAGGAGATAAAAATAAGGGGCTCCAATGTAAAAATCTATAGGCAGTTCAATTAAAATTTGGCCTTGATTTTGAAGCTGTATTTTTAACCTGACCAGCTGTTTGACTAGACTGCTGCAGCTAATATGCTAAAAATTAGTGTTTAGGCACTAATAGGCTCCACATTAGAATGTTATTTTTACTTCGAGAAATTTTGCCAACAGACTCTACAGCATGGAAAGCAGACGAGACTTAAAAGCCAAACAACTTTCCAGCTTATTTCAATGTTGTTTCTATGTAAAGATCAGTGTGAAAATACTACCTCAATGCCTGAGAATCTAGAATCAGTCACCTCATTTCAATTCTGTATTTGCTTTTGGTGTCTTTTACCTATTGAAACATTTTGTGAACTTTTAATTAAGGAAAAATTATTTAAGTCCAAGTCAATGAGACTTGAGAATCTTATCTGGTTAGAACCTTGGCAGAACTACTCGAAAAGTTTTTGCAAATTGGGGCTATAGATACTGAACCAAAATAATTCTTTCCTTAGCTTAAGGTTACTTTCTCTTTCTTTCCAAGCATGTGAGGAAGCCAAATAGGAAATACACATATGTACCAGTGGGGAGAAATAGGCTTGCTTGTGGATGTAGGTTTTAAAATGAACAAATATTCTATCTTTAAAAAAATATTCTAAGTAACAGTATTCAAGAAAGATTTGGTCCCATTCGCAGCAGTAAGCACATATGCAGAAGGGGGAATAGCTCACTAAGCCTAAGGACTAAAAACCAAACCCTAGACAAAAAAACCCCCAAGAACTACAACATTCAAAATCATTCCCAATATTCTCGTACATCACAAATCCACAACAGCCACGTATCCTTTGCACAAATACTGCCCTCTAACTCCACTGATACGTTCTCTTTTTGTCTAATAGTCTCCCGGTATTACCGCTCAACCAATACTAGTACATATTTGTGTGGGTCAGGAACTAAAGTATGAAGTAATCTTTAGGTGTTCGCATCCTGGGCTGGACACAGCTTTTTTAGTTAATTGGTTAGCTTTACTTTAGACATTTTTAAAAGCTTGCTTTCCTTCCCATACACGTCTTTTACCCTTTAGCTTGCCCAGGTTTACTCAGTTTACAAAGCACCGAATGAAATGATTTTATCATCACCAAGTTCCCCTCAACTGGCTCTCCCAGAAACTATTATTCAATCTTTTGTTTCCAGTCATTAACCTCCGAGGATTACACTTTAAATCCTATAAACCTTAAATAGGGGCCATGGAATATAGATTTGGGCTTCCGAAGAAGACCCAATTTCTAGACCACTAGCTTTTCAACAACTAGACAGACCTCCGAGTGACAACCAGACGCATGAGTTCGGGAGCCCCCAACCAGGAAGGCACCCGGCCGACTGCAGGGATACTCACACTCCATGGATGCGCTTGTGAATGTTGATGGTGTATTCTCTGGTCACTACCTCGTTGATGGCAGAACGGCCCTTCTTCTTCTCGCCACCCTTCTTCGCGGGAGCCATCTAAACCCAGGGACAAGGAAGTTCAGAGCAGATGGGAACCAGCACAAGCCAACTCCTCCCTCCCGAGCCCGGCCTCACGCTGCCACCCTCGGGGCGCGTCCAGGCGCAGAGGGCTCGGCCAGGCACCTGATGCCCCAGGTACCGGCAAAGCCAAGCCGGTCACCCCGCCGCGAAAGCATCCGCGCCCCTCAGATGCTCCCGCCCCGGAAACCCCTGCAGGCTCGGCTCCCCTAAGCCTGGCCAGTCTCCCTCCCAGGCTACGGGAGCCCCTAAACAGCCCGGATTCCCGTCCCCTCAGAAGGCGGAGTCCCGGGCCGGCCTCAGAGAAATCTCGCTGTCCCGGTCAGCACAATCCCGAGCGAGGATGGAACCAGATTCCCGACGCCGGCTCCCAGCACCCATACTCACTCCGCCGGGCTCTGGTTGGAAAGGAAGAGCGCGAGGTATTGTGGGAGAGGGAAAGCAGCGTCACAAGTACAACTTCCGGGTCGCGTGGAGACGCTTGGAAGGGGAGAGGCGAGGCTGCGACGTAAGCGGCGCGCGCCCGGGGAAAAGCGAGCGCACTTCGGGGGTGGGGCCCCCGGGGCGGGCCGCGGCTGCGCACTCCGGCCGCGCTCTCGGCACCCGGCTCCTAGCCGCTTAGTTCCCTCCTCCGCTCTGCGAAGGCGCGGTATTTTCCCCCGCCTCTCGTCCTAAGCCTTCGGAGGAAGTAAGAGCCAGGCTCACAGCTGCATGGGAACAGGGCCAGGAAAAGAAGACGCTCCTTTGTTTTACCCATTCTCTCATTGATTTGGCCACCGCTTGCTGAACCTGAGTGCGGTGCGGGGCTGGCTGCGCCGAGAGAGGTCGGAGACAGCTGCCGCCTTGGCAGTGCTCACGTTGAGGAGGAACACTCCTGAACGCGAGTACTTACAGTCCTGGGCCGTGGAGCCACCCGAGGGTCGTGTCTGGCCCGATGCATGGGTGGGTCGCGGTGCAGAAAGCAGGGAGGTTTGTGCTGCGCTGGAAGGATGGGCAGGAGGTAGCCAAGCAGAGAAGCGGTGGAGCGAGGCAGGTGACCGGTCTGAAGCAGTACGGCTTTCTAGACTCTAGGCCCGGAGGTGAGATAGTGTGAGTTTGAGTATTACAGGTAATGAAACATTGAAATTGTCAGGAGGGCACTGCCATGATCAGATTTGTGTTAGAATTAATTTAGCTACACTGAAGAACAGATTAGGAGCAGGGGGGCAAGATAGCAAGGAAACGAGTAGAAAGAAACTACATACTAGAGACAAATAAGGAGGATCTGAATCAAGGCAGTTGCAGTGGGATTAGAAAGAAGCAGGCTGATTTTATAGTTAAACAAGGAGGTAAAATCAAGAGGATTTGGAGAGAGAAGACCAGTGTAGATTCTACATTTAAGAGGTGTGGGAGCGGAGGCTGAAGAAATTAGTAACCTGTCATTAGAGCAGTAGGAAAAGACTTACTTGGAAATATTCTAAGTCAGAGGGAAGCCAGAGTGGTCAAGAGGTTCTACATGCTAGAGTTCAAGTAAGGCAAATATTGAGATGGACCCACAAGTTTCTCCAAACAGGAGAGTATCAGTGATATTAGCAAGTTTCACTACTGGAGCAATGGGGAGTGGGAAGGAGCCAGATGAGGACAGAGTAAGGAGTGAGTATGGGGGTAAGTTGCTTTCCACCTATGCTGTCTCTTGGGGCATAAAGCCTGGGAGAAGACATACTGAGAGAGGGGAGCAAAAGGCAGGAGACCTGGGGAAGCATTAGGCAGTCAGGTTGGACAAGTAGCTTAGATATATGAGAGATGACAAGGAGATCTGAGGGGGTGCCCAGAGGGATCATTCTGGAGCTTCTGAGAGACTAATAACCGGCTGTCTCCAATCGGGGGATTCTAAGACAGTCACTTGGACCCATGGACCTATGCCTTCTTTATTCTTGGTGAACTCCCTTACTTCACAGGAGCACACCATTTAGTGGCTTAAGACAGGGAGGATGAGAGCTAAAGTTGAGCCCTCACATATCTGAAGGTTTTTATTCAACCCTCAAATTCATTAATACTTTCACTTGTATGGAATTTCAGGTTGAAAATAATTTCTCCCCAGCGTTTTGAAGGCATTCTCCATGTCGTATGTCACCCTTTGTGATGTTTTGTTTTCTCGGAAACATTTTAGGATCTTCTTGTATCTTGAAAGTTGTGAAATTTCAAGCAAATAGACACCCCCCCCCCCCCCACCCCGGGTGGAAATCGACAAAACGTCCCTTTCAGCTCTCAACTGTGCTGCTTTAAGTAAAGGTCAAACAGACAATAAAAACCATTTGGTTTGAAGGGGGCTGATACTCATCAGCCTGGCGGGGGCTCTCATGTTTCAGTCTAGCTCTGTGGGCTCTTCCAGCTTTTTCTTTGCCAAGCCTCAGGAGTCAGGCCAGTCTACTGCTGGCCGCCCACAGACCAAAACCTTTAAGGTGAACTTTGTGTCCTTTGTAAGTGTTCAGTATTTGTTAGCTGGGCTTCTCTCCCATGTCTTTTTACTTTTAGTGATTACCAGGGAATCCTTAAAATGAGACAGGATCTGAATGCTTCTCTGTGTGGGCAGCACGGAAGAAGACCCCAGTCTCGAGGGGGCAACAAACCCTAAGTGCTGGAGGGTCTTCTGGGGCAGATTTGTGCTGGGTTCAGCTGGATGGTCCAATGGGACTTCCTAAAAAAAGCCACTGGAAGATTTTTGAGATGAAAGGGGTGTGGTGGTGCAGAAGGAAGGCGCTAAAGAAGATGTGTTCAGTAGCAGCATTCCAAAACTTGTGTATTCCAGAGTTCACATTTCAGCCCCTTCTCATGAGCCAAGACTTTATAATTTTCCAAAGACAAAGGTCATGGTTTTTCTGGAAACAAGACGGTTGCAAAACAACTTTTTAATGAGCAAAATTAAATGAATCAAAAGCTTAGGGATTAAACTTCCCCGGATGTTATGTGGGTTTAAAGAAATGTGGCACAATAATGAGTTTTCTGAGTTTATCCAGATTCTCAACATGTATAAGATTTAAGCAATGCTGAATTAAATTAGTAGCGTGCTATACTCCACCCTCTTTCAATGGCTTCCAGCTAGAAACTCCTAGGACAATAAATATGCTGTTTCCATTAAAAAATCTTGCTTTACTTAGAAGGATTCTGACAGCCAACTAAAATTCAAATACAGAAAGATCAGATTTATAAACCTTTGAATTTACAAAACAGTTCAATTACAAAATGGTTCATCTAGTTTCACACAGACTTTTTTGTGGTGTCTAAATGTGGTGAGTCTCCTGATCAGATGGGGGCCCCCAGATGTGGGGCGATGATCATGTGGAAGCCTGTGGCATGGGCCGTGAAAGGCTTCACCCAAGACAGAATAAAGGAGATATGTTTATTGAATACACGGCAAGGGAGCAGTAAGCAGGACAGCAAGGAGAGGGTGTCTGCAATGAGGTAGTGGGTGGGGGCTGTTTCTAAAGAGGGAAGGTGAGGAGGTATGGTGATGTATGGAATTTTCCCTTTTTTGGTAAGTAGCCCATTGGTTATTTAGGGCCTTTGGATATTTTGAGGTGGGTCACCTGCTGGGCCTGTCTGTATTCAGCCAGGGGGTCGCTGTGGGCCCTTTCTACTTTCCATTGCTTAAGCCTGTTTGCCTAAAAGCAGCTTCTACATTTTTGTTTTATTTTTAATTTCATTTTAAGTAGGTTCCACACCCAATGTGGGGCGCGAACTCATGACCCAAAAATCAAGAGTCACATGCTCCACTGACGAAGCCAGCCAGGCATCCCCAGACTTTTTGTTTTAAAAAAGAGGGTTCATGGGGTGCCTGGGTGGCTCAGTTGGTTAGAGTATCCAACTCTTGATTTCGGCTCAGGTCATGATCTCAGGGTTGTGGGATCAAGTCCCGTGTCAGGCTCTGCGCTGCCTGCTTGGGATTCTCTTTCTCCCTCTCCCGCTGCACCCCCTCCCTCTCTCTGTTAAATAAATAAATAAATAAATAAATAAATAAATAAATAAATAAATAAAAAAAAGGGTTCATTTCTGGTCCTTTAAAGAATAAATGATCCTAATGCATGCAAAACATTTAGACTTACCTTTTTTTAGGAATACAATTGTGTGAACAGTAGAACTCCTTTTCTGTTGTCTGTATAGCCTCTCGTGCCGTCCCAAACTGCTCCTCGTCAGAGGACAGAGGCACTATCCCTATTTCACAGGAAGCAGGTGAAGCACAGAGCTGTAGCGACAGACCAAGGGAAGGAACTTCGTTCTCTTGGACCAACATTTGTGGTAAGGGCTGTGCTGAGCATCACCATCTCAGTGATTCTCCATCCTCATGTCATGGTGACGAAGTCTTGGGGGGAAGACAGGATGTCTGTAGTTGGCAGAAGCCTCCTAGATGCTGATGTTGTATCTCCCCCTGCTCAACACGATGTGTGTACACACCTCTCACACACAGACAGACGAGCCCCACGAGCATCCCGCATAATCTAAGTGCTGGCAGGGGGAGCCCATGAACTCTAGCCCAGATGAGGTTAATTATGGGCTGGGACTGCCTTGATGCAGAATGTCTCTGTCATCTCCACCGGAACCTAACGGGCTGGTGCCCATGCTGCAGCTTAAAAAAACCTCATGCCATTACCTGGTTCATTGATTGCTTGCGATTACCCTTAGGAACATCTTGAAATTAAAAAAAAAAAAAAATTTAAACAATGAAGAAAAGATGTATGCATGCATAGATAACAAGGGACAGAAACTGCCTCCAGAGGAAATTGTACAAATTCGTTAATTTATTACAAAATGGCCACTCACAGAAAAACACAAGAAAACTTTTATACTTTTATATCTGGGAAAGGAACTGGTGTCTCAGATACAAAATAATTTACACATAATCCATACAATTTTATTTTATATAGAAATAGGTCATTATTACAACAGCTGTACAATTCACTACACTTCGTCTTTTAATTACATAAAATCTTCTCTTTAGAAACATCTCAACATAACAAAACATACAAAAAAAGCAAAGTGCATTTTGAAAAGGAGAATCCAATCCTCGGTCTTCTCACGAAAGATCTGTAGAAAGATGCAGCATTCTGACTCAAGGGGCCGGCGCGTGCTGGGATTTCCTCGGGGACCTGGAGCTCCATGGGCCTGCCTGGCTTGGGATACCTCTTCCTCCCATTCCGTCTCGGAGTTCCCGACAGAATTCCGGAATATCAGCTGCATGATTGTGCTTTGCTTTGAGTCTGCCTTTGTAGTTGCAATCAAGGAAGTAAACAGGAACAGTCCAGTGTTTTATTTAGGGGAAACAATAACCACCAGAAAGAGCCTTCTTCCATTAGGTTTCAGACCAGAGGGTGTGGGTGTGCGGCCTGGTTAACAAAGACCATCTGATTGGTGGGCTGTTTTTGTTCCTGGGTCTCCAAGTGAAGTCACAAGACCTCCTTATTTTTAAAACCTGAAAGTGCCTAAGTTATCTCCTCTGTGCAGCTGTGCAAATTAAAACAAAAACCACCATTTAAAAATAATGAAAAATAATCTCTTTATTCTCTCTCTTCAACAGATCTCTGACCCAGTGCTTCTCGAATGCAAAGGAAAGAGGATCAGGAGAGTGAAGGCCAGCTAGCAAGTGTGGATGGACCACAGCCGGCTAGAGGGACCAGTGCGCTCTCGGGGAGGACGTGGCGAGACGTGCCGTCTGCTAAGTGAACTGAGTAATGACGCTTTCGTGGGGCACTCGGTTCCCATCCGAGTATGGCTGTAGAGTGTGCCCGAGAAACACAGAGGCTAGGGAAACACGGCCAGTATTCTGATCATTTTCCACGGCCAGCCACTGCGTTCTGGAGATGGTTACCATCCAGGAGTTCTGAAATGTATGCAGTGCGCACAAAAGCCAAGGGTTTAAACTCCTCTCCCCAGTTCCTCTGGCCACCCCCATGGTCCGTCCATTGGTTAAAGCTGATTGTGACCCGACAGAGGTGCCAGGGCTCTACCGGGGTGGCTGCTGGAGGCCCGAGGACTCAGAGAGGCTGCTGACCCTTCGAGGAGGGCGTGAGGGCTGGGGCGGCGGGGGGTAGCCCAGGGTCCCTGGCTGTTGCGAGTAGGTGGAAAGAAGTAGCGAGTCCTGCTCACTGTGCAGAGAGGTTGGTGCCTGCACCTGGAAAGTAAGGACAAAGGGCTAGAGGACTCACCTCCATGGCTGGTGGGGTGGCGGGGCGGGGCGTGTCTTGTGGTGGTGGGACCTTGCGGGGGAGGATGGGTGGGGAAGAAAGGAGCCTGAGGCTCTGCCAGGTGGGTGGGAATTCAGAAGCCAAGCTCTCTGCCAGCACTAGGGATTCCTTTGGGCCAGTGGGCCAGGGACCAGGCTTTGGGCACGTCATTTTCTGAACAGGTGCACATGATCTACATGTGGCCTGTATATTTTGGGATGTTGGGACCTGAGACTACATGCAGATCATTGACAGGGCAGAAACCAAACACACATGCAGTCTGCATACTTTTCACCATGGTCCCTGATTCTGTAACTACTCCCAAATACTGCTGTTTGCCAGCCCCCCAATTTGAAGCTCAGAAACTTCAACTGGTCAAACCCTAACTTTGGCACCTTCAGTCCCACCCCTCACTATTCCCATCCATGAAATCTCCCCTGTCCAAACCACCCAGAGCACCCCAGGCACACCTGTGCCTCCACTTTGGCTCAGGCTGTCTCTTTCTTGTTGCAACACTGGCCCTTCCTCTCCATTCACTTCGCCCACACTTTGGCTCTGCGGCAGGTGCCCCTGGGGCCTTCCTCCATGAAGGCCTCCAGCCACAATGCTCTTACTGGCACAGACCCCGAGCCTGGCCGCTCTGTGAGACATCCCCTCTCCCCACACCGCACCATGAGGGCCCGGAGTTCAGCAAGAAGGCCCAAATGCTCTGTGTCTTCTTAGCCCCATGTCTTGGAGGAACCCAGGTCCCCATCAACATGTTTGCTGCCAGGGCTGAAGAAAGATGCGGGAAGCCTCTAACTCTGCCCAGACCATCCCTGCCTTCTCCCTTCACCTGCACCCATCTGAAATCACTTGTGTCCTGCAAAATGACAAGATATGCAAAGCTGAAGTCTTGAGTTGACTGTCCCTATGCTTGAGGCCAGGGAACTTTTGAAAAGTGTATCACGGATGGGTTAGCATCTTTGGAATTAAATTACATTCAAGACCTTCAAGGAGGACTCTTTTCATCTTTATTGCACTGTCCTTAAAATGTCTCAGTCACAACACTCTCCTGTGGTTCTGAAGGTGCCCAAGCAAGGAGGTAGAGCGAAGGGAAAGCCATGGCCTGCCCTGTGGCGGGGGCTGGAGGCCAGGGAGGATGTGCAAAGGACAGGGGCAGGGCTGGGGCAGGAAGGGGTGCTCCGGGCATATGTCGGAGGGAAGGCCAGAGCCTGAGCAGACACTTCTGGTCCCATCTGAACGTCAACCACTGGCTCTCATCCTCCCTCCTTCCAGTGTGTTTGGCACTTGCTTAAAGCAAGCAGTGACCACATGTAAAAGTGCCCCACATTTTCCTAGAAAGCCCCAACTTCAGGCCACATTATTGTATTTATCGAGCAAGTTTGATGAATCTTTAACTAAACATGTAATTTGTATTTGTAGAAGACTTTGTGTATAAACACACAAGTTTGACAATCACAGTAATCAGGTCCCACCACCACAATTTTGTTCTCAAAAATATGGACACCATATAACAATTACTTCTTAAAGATGGATCTTTTTTTTTTCCCTCAGGCATTAGTCATCTTACTGATTCAAATTTGCCCCGCACTCTCTCATATTCCAAACTACACACAAAGCATACTAGATAGAAATTTTGTAAATAGCGTTTGTCAGATGGAATAGTATTAAAGATGGATCTTTTAAGCACATATCAAATGAGGCATAATAGCTGAGTCTAAATTTCTCCTACTAAATATACAAAGACTTTATAAACTTTAAGTATTATAAACTTCATAAACTATAAAGCCTCAAACGCAAATCTGTCTGGAGTTTGTTTCGGAACTGAGGACTAGAGCCACCCTGAAAGCCAGGGAGGAAAGGCCTGTCAGCCCAGGGCTGTGGAGCTCTGCCCTGTGCCTGGGTGCATGCGTGCGGTGGTGCCCACCTGCAGGAAGTGCTGTGGCTGCTGCTGGGCCTGTGCGGGCTGCAGGGGTGACTGCCGGGAGGCGGGGAAGCTGGGCTGGGGCACCGCCTGTCCCATCAGCAGAACGGGGGGTGAGGCGCTGCTGCTGGTGGTGTGCATGTCTGCATTTGGAAACACAGCCTGGCTCTGTGGATACCTGTTTGGTCACGTGGGAAGGAGAAAACAGACTTTTAAGAAAGAGGAGTTGATGTGATACCGGCAGCACAGGCAATGAAAGGGCACACAGATAGACTGGACTTTGTCAAAATCATAAACTTTGGTGCATCAAAGGACACTATCCATGGATTGAGAAGGCCACCTATAAAAAAGTATTGTGAACAAGGGATTGCAACTCAACAACAACAATACAGCCCGACTACAAAAATGGGCAAAGGGTTTGAACAGACATTTCTCTCAAAAAAAGATACAAATGGCCAATGAGCACAAAAAAAGATGCTTAACATCCTTAGACAATGGGGAAACACAAATCAAAATCAAAATGAGATACCACTTCCTAGTCATGACAATGGCTATTAAGAAAAAAATAAAAACAAAATAATAAGTGTTGATGAGGATGTAGAGAAATTGGAATCTTTGTGCAATGTAAAATGGCGGGGGGGGCCACCTGGGTGGCTCAGTTGGTTAAGCATCTGACTGTTGATTTCGGCTCAGGTCATGATCTCAGGATTGTGAGATCGAGCCCCGATTCGGGCTCCACACTGAGCATGGAGCCTGCTTAAGATTCTCTCTCTCCCTCTCTCGTGGCCCCTCCCCCCTCACGTTCTCTTTCTAAAAAATAAAGTAAAATAAAATAAAATAAAGAAATGTAAAATGGTGCAGCCACTATGGAAAACAGAATGGCAGTTCCTCAAAAAATTAAGCAAAGAATTACCATATGATCCAGCAATTCCACTTCTGGGTATATATCCCAGAGAAGATGAAAGCAGGGACTCAAGCAGATATTTGTACACCCGTGTTCATAGCAACATGATTCACAATAGCCAAAAAGTAGAAGCCACCCAAGTATCCCCATTGATGGGCGAACAGATAAGCAAAATATGGTATACACGCATAATGGAATATTATTCAGTCTTAAAAAGGAAGTAAATTCTGACACGTGCTAGAGCATGGATGAACCTTGAGGACATTATACTGAATGAAGTAAGCCAGTCACAAAAGGACAAATACTGTGTGACTCCCCTTAGATTAAGATTCCTAGAGGAGTCAGATTCATAAGAGAAAGAAAACTGTGGGGCTGGAGGGTAGAGGGAGCAGGGAGTTGGTGTGAAATGTGGGTCAGAATTTCAGTTTGGGAAGACGAACTTCTGGAGACGGACAGTGGTGATGGTGAATGCCACTGAACAGTACACTTAGAGCTAAAATGGTAAAATTTGTTACATATATATTCTACCACAATTAAAAAAGAAAAAGGTGTTGATGATCATGGACCATGAACAAGAGGCAGAGGAAGGCCATTTAGGAAGGCTCCAGAGGAGCACAGAATAGGAACAGGTGTTTAAAGACGCTATAGAGAAGTCCATTTTGCATTATATTTTTGGAAATGTTATTTCTCTCTGTCATTTATAACAAGATGGGGCATTAGGTCATGTCTGGAGGAGACGGGGAAGGTAGAAATTATTGTGTTGACCAAAAATGGCAGTTAGAGTTCCAGAGGAAAGAATTCCCACTTTTGCCTAGTTCACTGCATTTTAAGCATCTCTGGAAAGCAATGTAACACGAGTCTTTGTTTTGTCTAATTGAGAGCACCATCAGGGAATTTAAAGGCGGCTTCCTGAAGTGTGCATTTCCCATCTCGCCCCCACGTGGTTTTTATTGGGATAAAATGAAATGCTGTAGGTACAGCCCCTGCCCCTCAGAAATGTTCAGTGACCATCCACGGCTACTGTTATTGCTGGCTGAGGGAGGACGCAGGAGGAAGGGCTTCTAGGGGCCGGTCCCAGGGGATGGCATGGGGGAATTAGCTAGCACCATCTCGGCGAACTGCTGACACACACTCAACCAATGTTTAGAAGAAAGATGTCTGTGAGATATTTCTACTTCTGCCTCATGTCAAAGAGCTAGGAGCTATTTCCCAGTAGCTTTTCAAGTATTCACTCCTCTATCTCCAGTATCCTTTGTCCGGAGTAATTAAAGCAACAGCGGAGGAAAGCTGCTTCTGGACGTCGGGGCTGCCAGTGGCGAGGAGTCTGGGGAAAGGAGAAGGTGGCGGGTCTGGGAGGAAAGGAGAACCCACATCTGCAGGGTTTCACAGCCCCGTGGCTCGGCGCCAGAGCCCCAGAGCAAGTGTGCCTGTGGAACTTGCCGGTATCTGCTGGTCAGACGGGGCCATGGGGGGGCCTGGGCAGGGGGCTCAGGCTACATTTACCTGGGTTATTACCAAGGGTGAAGGACCCGTAAAGATGCTTGAAGATGATGACAGATAATTGTTTCCTTCAGGTCCTGTTCTAAGCATGGGATGCTGACCCACAGTTTGATCTTCTTCAATGGGAAGCAGAAGAAAAGCTAAGGGGGTGTCCCTGCAAAGGGTGTGGACACACTTTGACCTTGCCTTTGGTGCGGCTCACACGAGCACTGCTGGTCCAGGCCGATGAGAACCCTGCCAGCCCGAGAGCGCTCAGTGCGGCTCTCGGCCTCCTCCCTCCACCCGGGGCCACCTACTTGACTTGCCGTCCAGTCCTGCTGACCTCTGAGGGCTGCCTCGCGTCACAGGACCCAGGCATCATGGGCTGGATGGGCTGGCTCAGCAGCAGCCTTGGGGCAGAGGAGGAGATAAACGGGAAACTTGAACCAGCGCCCAAACTGTGGACCCGCGGGCCCCTTCTGGCTGCCCCGATCCCCAAGGCGCCTGCTCTGCTCTCGGAGGATGAGGAGTGCAGCCACCCGAGCCCCCGGCCCTCTCTTGCCACTCTCTTGGCTGGGATCACCTGAACTCTGCCTCCATCTACAACAGCAGGAAGGCTGCAATGGTCCCTGGAAAGCTGCACCTCAGCTGTCTTTCAAACAAGCGCAGTCTCTGTACCTGAGCTGCCGATCATGGCTGAAGGCTGGGCTGGGCCGGCACTGGCTGCCGTCCTGGGAGGCAGAAGCGAGCGTGGTCAGGCTCAGAGCTGGCGGGAGCACTGCCGTGGCGCTGCTGAACTGGGGCGTCAAGCTGCTCACCGAGGGGCCGCTTCCCGGCATCAGCTGCGAGCTTCGCATTGGCCTTGGACCCTGGAGCAGTCGTGTTAATGAGAAAGGTAAAACTCAGACTCAACTCGGGAGTCATCTCTCCAGGAACCCCCCTTCCCGGAACCCCTTTCTTCTACCCACCTTGGCCCTTCCTCTAACTTAGGACCCACGAGTTTTTTGAACTATTTTGATCTTGTGACTCTTCCCCGTTGGATCATAAGCACCTCAAGGATTCTTTGAATCCCTCGGGCCTAGAACAGTGTCAGGCTCTCGGCAGGCAAGGAAAATGTGCATGAACTGAACTACCTTCTGCTTCACCGATTCTACTCCAGACACCTGGACCTCCTTGCTCTTTCTCTCCAACTCACCAGGACTACTCTGGCCTCAGGGCCTTTGCACTGGCTGACCCCTCCATGTGGAATACTCTTCCCCCTAATACCAGTATGGTTCATTCTCTCATCCCCTCAGGTTTTGGCTCAAATATTATCTTCTCTAAGAGAAGGCCACCTATTTAAAACTCCAGCCCACCCCCCACCTTCACCAGTGGTCCCGCATCACCACCTGACAGGTTGTGATCTTTGCTTGTTTGCCTCTCTCTCCTGAGTTGGATCAGATATGCTTTTTTTCTCTTTTGTTCACTGCTGTCTCTCAGTGCTCAGAACTTAGCACCTAGCATGCGGTGAGCACTTGACAAATACTTGTTGAGCGAAATCATAACTAAATGAGGGAATGGGCTTGGATTTGCTTTTGCTTTTTGGGTTTTGCACTGTTTCGCCGACCATCCATTCATATGATGGCACCACAGTGTTTTAACTGTCCGAGTATCCATGAAATCTTTCAATGCTAGTGTAGGTCCTTCCTCAGTGTTTTCTTTTCTAGATTCTTCTTGACTATTCTCATTAATTTCTCTCTTGACCTTTAGAATCAAAAGGCTGCATTTTAAAGGAAAACCCTTAAGTCTGGGTGAAGATGGGCCAAACTCTTAAATGTGTACTTTCTACCTTTTATTGTACATTATCTGTTTACATTCCCAGAGGACCCATGGGACTCGAAGCTCCTTGGAGTCAAGACCAGTCTTATTCACGTCTTTTCCCCTGGGGGATGGTGAATAAGAGGGGCTCAGCAGATGTTTACTGGACCCATGATGACGTATGCCAATATGAGGCTTGAGGAAAGGCTGTATCTTGCCTTCCAATCTTTGGTCTTCCAGAAGCAGGGGCTTAGGACTTCTTAGTTGCATTCAAGTGCCATTGATTGATGAAGACTGTCAGATTGCAAGGTCACTGTGGCTTGTAGTAGGCAGTAATGGCTGTGAGGGAAGGGCTTGGTGGGGACTGGAAGGGGCATGCTGGCCCCAGGGAAAGGGAAAATGAACGGCAGTGGATATAACCTGTGTTCTCACACTGAAAATGGCTAAAACCAAGAGCAGGTGATGAGGACGGAGCACACACACGTGGGGACATATGGCTGTCGGTGTGAGTGTCTGGGTGTCCATATCTCCCTCCCACCCCAGTCAGGATCAAAACTGAAAGTTTCAGCTGCAGGATACCATTGAGGTATTTTAATATATTAATAAAACACAGGAGGAAACTATTACAACTTGGGGCTTCAGAGCATCTTAGAATAAGGAAAGGAAAACCCCACACCACCATAATCTAGCCCCAGTCACAGAAGAGGAATGGCTCAATAGGTTTCCAGGTCAGGGAGGCTGCGGGACTCAAGTGTGCCCTGGTCTGCTTCAGTGGCAAGGACTGAGTGTGAAGACGAGCACGCTGACCTGGGTTGATATCACACTGGATTCTCTGAGCAGGTGCTGGTTCGCCACCTGGGCAGAGCCAATCTGCCCTGGAAGCTGAGGGCTGGCCACGAGCTGGGGCTGGGAGCCTGGGGCCGACCTCTGCTGGAGTTGCTGCTGAGCTTCGGGCCGCGGGGCGCTGCTGAAGCTCAGGGATACAGCCGGCTGCTGCAGAAACATCTGGAAGCAGAACAAGAGGGCCTTTAAGGTTGGGATCCCAGGTGCCTTCACTTTCAGGTGTTCACCTTCACACACCAAGGTGTCTGAACCTTCTTTGTATTCCCTAGCCACGGTAAGAGGTCAGCTTTCTTGCTGTCTCTGACCTGCCTGGGAAGAATTAATTCACTCAACATGGGGGCGCTGGAGGCTATCAAGCCATGAGCACGGTGCGAGGGCCCTGGAGATGGAACAGTGAGTTGGAGGGACACTGACCCTGGCTTCGAGAAGCTATGGTCTAGCGATGGAGGTCTAACATGATGAAAGATGCTTAGACCTGGATGGCCTATAAAAGAGTTGACGTACTTATATAGAGTCTGGGCTGGCTTATCGGCTCCTTATGAGAGAGAAATGTCTGTAGTTGGCAGAAGCCATTCCATCCACCCATAGATGGATGGATGGGTGGATGGAATGAGTGGTGGCCGAGGGTGGGCTAACCTGCGCCACAGTCTGCACCATCCTGGCAGCAGGACCAGGCCACTGACCGGGGCACGTACCCGCACTGGGGTTGGCATCTTCAACCCAGTGCTCCCAGCTGAGATGGCAAACCTGCCCCCATTAATGAGGTGACTCTGCATTCCCAGGAAGGCACCTGTGATATGTTGGCTTGGCAATCTTAATTTGAGAGGTTTAAGGGAATTTGATCAAGTTTGTAGAATGTTCGAGAGTTTGTGAGAACCTCGATCTACCTCATTTGTAGGTCTGGTGTATTTGATTTAAAAGAGCTGATTAAGTGCTTAGAAAGATTAGGGGCGCCTGGGTGGCTCAGTTGGTTAAGCGACTGCCTTCGGCTCAGGTCATGATCCTGGAGTCCCGGGATCGAGTCCCGCATCGGGCTCCCTGCTCAGCGGGGAGTCTGCTTCTCCCTCTGACCCTCCCCCATCTCAAGCTCTCTCTCTCTCTCTCTCTTTCTCTCTCTCAAATAAATAAAGTCTTTAAAAAAAAAAAAAGAAAGATTTCACTTCTTAAGTTTATAAGCCTACCTTGTTAGGCACCTGAAATGTTTGAAGGATTTAGATATATCGAACTTCTAGATTAATGGCTTTTGTAGATACTGTTGATTATTTACAATTTGTTAAATCTATAAACTAACATAAATAAAAACAAGTAAAAGCACTGCTATTTTTAGACCAAATTAGATTTGTAAATAAAATGTAAGCTGTAAATTGACTCTAAAGGCCTAAGAAGAACAACCTTAATACTTTCAATCATAATTTAAACCTAAGACCTGTAACTAGCTCTTTCAACCAAAGGTCCTTGTGGGCACTGAAAACTGCCATTATCTAATATGTCGGATTCTTGACAAGCAGTACTCCCCTCCCTTGTAGACCTGGGGCTTTGACTTCTTCAGGAGGGAGGCCCTCTTCCTTCCAGCATCTGGGGTTTTAACCCTGCTTCCTGTACTCAGCTCAGGACAACTTCCAAGCCAGTGGAGAACCGACATGCTGACCATTGGCTGAGTGACCGAGGGATTATGGAAAGGCAGAGGCAGAACCAAGCCAAGCAGACACTTGCAGGAGTACTTAGGGATCATTAGTTCAAGCGTGTGCCTTGTGGGTGAGTTCGAGCTGCCTCCCAGAGGCCCGAGGTGGGTGGGTGGCTGAACTGGACCAGGTCCCCATCTGGTGCCCTTTCCACCACCCCACCTGATCTCCCCGCTGTCCAGTCACATCCCTCACCCCCACCAGAGAGGTTTTGAATAATGAGAGCTCTTTGTCACCTTAGAAGTTAAGAATTTTCTGGGTATCCATCATCTCAGATTCCATTTGGGGATTAATACTTTACACGTTCCCAGCTACCTACTATAATATGGCATGACCTACACTTCATCACTTCAGCAAAAACCCAATACACACACTACATAACATACATTTTTCTGGTAGGGTACAATTTACCTTCTGATTAGATTTCAAGTCCATGCAACCTTTATTTATAACAGGCGGTATAATGCAGCTTCAATTACATACCTTAGTTCAGATTCCAACCCCCCATGTGCTACTGGTGTGACCTTGGGTAATTTTCCTGACTTTTCCAAGCTTTAGTTTCCTCATTAATAAAACAGTGACATCAAGAGCACATAGCTCGTAAAGGATTAAATGAGATTTATGCTGAGACGTAGTCAGGGCTCAATCAGTGGTAGATAGTAACAATCATATTTAAAATAAAAAAAGGAGCTCTTTGTTCCCTAGCCTCTTTGGGCATACAAAAACTATCTAAGAAATGAATGAGTGGAATACATAAATTAATGAATAAACAAATAAATGAGGCTTTTGCTCGAAGGGCAAACTGTTTCTGCTTGTGTCATGTCAGAGACTGCTGGGTCTGCTGCTCTGTCTCATTGATGTGTGCCTTCTGAGGGTAGAAGGCACCCTCTACCTGTCCTGTGTATCTCTGTATTCCCACAGTGCCTAGCCAAGTACCGGATACATAATGGGTGTCTCCCGGATAGGGGGGTGGATGAAGGGATGGAAGGAAGGATGGATGGAAGGATGAATGGATGGGTGCATAGGTGGATAGTTGGAAGGAAGGAATGATGGGTGAATAGATGGATGGATGGGTGGATGGAAGAAAAAAAGGAAAGATGGATGATTGAAAGAACTAATCAAGGAACACATTTGCCATTGCTACAGGTGCCCTTCCAGGCATTTCTTTGAGTAGCCAGCAGAGGGCGTGCATACTCTCAAAAAGAGAGCAAGAGGCATCCTTCTCTGGACCGCAGAGAGTGACAGACACAGCCTTTCACCAGAACAGCTCTCCCCAAGTAGTGCCCTTCGTGACTCCATCTAGGTGCAAACACCAACACCTTAGAGGACCTTTCCCTCATAACCCAATCTTTTTTTTTTTTTTTTTTTTTAATCGTACTCAGCAAGCATCACATGCTCACATAGGCTCAATGAAAGCTCCGGGGCACTGAAGTCAAGTGGCAAAGTCCACTGACATTTGGGTAAAGGATTTTGTAGGGGACAATCCTGTTTGCTGCTGTGCACATCCATGCCTCTGTTTTATCCACAATAAAGTAGAATTTTATGGCTTAGGAAGATGACGTCTTAAACAGCACCGGGTCAACTTTATAGAAAGTATGAGAAAAATAGCTCCCTAATTCAAGTAGAAAAAGTTATCAGAGAAAAAAAAAATCTCCTAATTTTTAAGAATAAACCAATCGTATGCTCACCTGTGGTTTCTCATTATTCTAATCTGCTTACTTTTACCAATACTTATTATTATCACAGAACATCTTAGAAATACACAAAATAGAGGTATAAGGAAACCCCATGTATCATCATTAGGCTTCAACAATTATCAACATTTTGCCATTCTTTAATCTCTCCTCCCACCTCCTACCTTTTTGGGGAAGGGGTAAAGTAATTTTTACTTGCTTATTCTTTATGTTTGAACCACACAGTTTTTTTTTTTTTTTTTTTTTAATGAATATCACATTTTGGTTAAACATTTTGTAATGTATTTCTTTAAGTCTATAAACCTGTAGAACTACAAGAAGGCAGACTGCTTGAGGAAACGTTCTCTGGTTGGACTATCTGTGGATTTCCATGTTCTTTGGAAAATTCCACTGCAAAGATAAGGTCACAAGAATGAAAACAGGGAAGGAACACACTGGAGGTCTTGATTTCCACATCAACCCTTACAAAACTAAGGTGCTCTGTGGGCATATGTACTTTGGGGGGGGGGGTAACAAAATGCATTGGTCAGGAGAAAAAAAAAATTGTTTATAACAAGGAGTGAAAGAGATAACCTGTGTCGCCTGTTATTTTAGAATTCAGCTTGAATGTGGAAAAGGCAGGAAATAGAAAAGCCCGGGCTCTGAGGAGGACGTTCATACGCCTACCTTGCTTTTAGCAGTTTCTGGCTCAATTTTCCCCTTCCTGTTAGTGTAAAAATTCCATTCAAGTAATTGGAGTCAGGCAAGTTCTGCCAATCAGGCCCTGGATCAGTGAGGAAACATTACAGCTGGGGAGGAATAAGTAAAAAGGGACTTTGACATCTTGATGACTCCATTTCTTTCCCTGTAAACACTGTGGTGCTCTCCTTGGTCCGTTTCGAGTGCGGCTGAGGAGGCGGGGCAGCTGCAGGGCTGTGGGCGTGGCTGGACGCTCCGCCCCCGACCCCGTAGGCGGGGCTGTGAGTGTCCTGCCCAGCTCGGTCCTCCCAGTGCGGAGCCAGCCCGGGGCCGGGGGTCTGTGGAGGGGCACAGGGTGTCCGGAAAGCCGGCCAACAGCGCCTCTGGGGGGCCCCCGGGAGGCACGATGGCGGGCAGCAGGTGTCTCCTGCTGCCCAGCAACGCCGCCCCTTCACGCGTTATCTCCGCACGCACCAGCTGGGCGCTGCGCCCGCACAGAGCCTGCGGGTAGCCCCCGGGAAGGTCTGTGTGGACCGGGCCGGGAAGCAACAGGTCCCGGGCTCCAGCCATTTTCCCCGAGGTACTCTCCTGCTTCCTTCTGCCTCTCCTAAGAGGGGGTGCAAATGCTTAGAGCTCTCAAGGGAGGCTCCCAGGGTGAGCTAGAATTACATTCACAATTAGAGCCTGGGTCAAAAGAATGCACTTGGGAAGAAAAATCGTCTTGGACTGATCCAAGTGAAACTTGGTAAAAATCATTTATCCATGAAAGAGATCTAGTATACCCAGCATTCCTTCCAAACACAATCTCTCAGAAGGATTCAAAGAAGCGACCTCCGGGGCACGGTGTCACAGTTAAAAGCTGCTGTTGTCAGAACACGCAGAGGGCCACCATGGGCATGCCACAAATGGGGTGGCCTGGAGATGCGAGGGTGCTGACTTTCAGTCCCTGCTCTCTCTGCTGTCCCCCTCGGTGCAGGGTACAGATCTCATCATTTCCCACATGTCCCTCCATTAACGCTTTGGATGAGAGGCAACAGCACAATAATGCCCATGCCCCCCACCAGCAACCCGGGCAGTTGACAGGTGCTGGGAGTTTATAACCCCCTGGGAGGGAGCCAGCATCACTGCAGGGCGATCAACCACCACTCATGAATGAAAATGCAGGTGATACATAGATATTATGTGCCCAAAAGAGCAAGGGGTAAATGGGGAGGGTGTCATGGGAAATTCACATTTGTCCTGGAGTTGGGGGTGGAGGAGGTGGGATTCATTCCTTGAACTTGGTGTTGGAAGTTTCAATATGCTTAGTAAGCAGGACTCAATCAGGGCAGTACAGAGGGACTTTGGCGGGAGTCCCGCCCACCCTGAAAGGATGGATAGATACGTCACAGGGCGGCAGGGAGGACAGAGGCCAAGGCAGACACTGGCCCGGGAAGGGGCATCACCTGGATGTTGGAGTCCTGGACCAGGCAGAGCTGCTCCTGGATCTTGTGGAGCTCTTCCTGCTGCCACCGGATGTTGGCTTGCAGGATCCGTGTCCGCTGCTCCAGCTGGTCTTTGATGGTCTGGAACATGCTGAACTGTGCTGAGAACTTGAAGGTGGAGTCAAAACACACAACCAGATGAAAGAGCCATTTCAGCCTTGCAGACAGATGTTGCTGCTGTCCTGAGTGGCCCTGCCCACTTTCACTTCCGGTCCCTTATCCGCCCATTCTGGTATCCCTACTGAGTGACTCGCTGCTGGGGAGCTCAGCAGCGCACAGGGGCTTTGAATGAGGGCCGGGTGTTCCATGGGTCCCCGTGTGGGCTACTCCGAGGCCCACCGGAATCTGCAGGTCTAACGTATTGCACGGCAGTCCGGGAGGGCCACAGAATCCAGACGTGATTTTGTAAGCAGTGCTCACAAACTGATATTCCAAATTTGGTTAGACAAATGGTTTTGGAAATGAACGTCAAAAGCCGTGCATCGGAGAGCAGGTGACAGTTCACAGGCAATCTGGGGTCCTATCATTATCCTAAATCTGATCCTGGAAAGCAGGGCTGTTCTGTAACAATTCACAAATGAACTTGATATTTCCCGGGGGCGGAGGGGGGTGGCTGCCCTCCTAACAGGCCTGGGCCATGGAGGCCTTATCACCCTCCCTCCCTTCCCCTGGGCTCATTTGCTGCTATGAACTTCTTAGAAATCTGTGCACAGAAGAACTAAGGAAAAGAGTTGTACAGTCACCTGGGACATTTGTCCTCAGGGTAACACTGGCAGAGGGCGACCTTATAGGAGGGACACTGATAAGTGCTTTGCACAAGGGTACCAAGTTTCACCTTCTTTTACCTCTTACCCCTTTCCTGGGATGGAGGTTGGCTATGGGAAGATTCTGTCCCTGTCCACCTTGACATAAGGCGTTTCCTTATAGGAAACGTGAGGAAAGTGGGGGATCATGGCAGGTGAGGTCAGTACTCCTGCTCTGGGCTCTCTGGGGGCACTCAAGAGTTCCTGTTTCTTGTGTTTGCTGGCCGGGGCTTTCTGCTCACCCCTTCCTTCCTTCCTTCCTTCCTTCCTTCCTTCCTTCCTGCCTCCCCCCTCCCTCTCTATCTTCTTCTCCCTTTTTTTTTAAACCTCTATTCCCTCGATCTCTATCCCAACAATCTCCCTAATCCATTTCTTGCCCGTTGTCTTTTGCAAACACCTGCAGAGACTCTTCCTCTGCCCTTTGACCTCCCATACGTGGAAAAGCAAGGAGGCCGGGAGAGTTTCGGATACAGCTGGGATACACTGAAGGATGGAATCACTGACCACAGTTTTGGGAGTGGCACAGTACTAATAAAAAGAACCAGTACGAATAATAAAGGCGGGTACTGCCGTGTGGGGAGACCCACACTTTCCAGTCACTGCCCCAGCCGGCAGAGGCAGGTCAGCAATTCTTCACATCACACCCCCATGTCACGCATGTGACTTGCTTGGGATCGCACAGCTAGAAGGTGGTAGGGGCCAACACGTGAATCCGCAGTCTCAGGAGCTGGCTGAGGCCAAGAGGTTTTGCCAGCAACACCTCCCCCGCCTCCCAATTCCACCTCAATCAGAGCATCTCTGGCTTCAGACTTCATTTAAAGGAAAAAGTTCTGCTGCTCAACATGAGTTTAAAAATACCTGTGCTATGCCAGACGGTATCAGCAAAAACTTCAGCAGAAAGTAAATGATCAAAACACTGAGCTGGGATTTTGAAAGAGAATTTGACTGAGAAAGAAAAGGAGTTCTGCCAGGTATGAAATTAAAAACAACACAACACAACACAACACAACACAACACAAAAGCTTCCGTGGTGGGTTCTACAAAGTCAGGAAACACTCCGGGGCTATGCCTTGCATGTCTAGTAGAGAGGACACTCTGGGTTCCCCTGTTGGCTCCAAAGGGAAACAAGAGGGGGCTGGGCAGTCAGGGAGGTGCCGGCACTGGTTTCCTAAGTGTTAGGTACTTCTAGTATTATTCTGATTTTCTCAAGGCATTCCAGGACACCCAAACATTAGTCTCTTGTTCTATTCTTGATCATGGCCTTTTTGATAAAGACCTTTATGTTAACTTACAGACATTTTAGAAACACAGTATGGAGCAAAACCACCAGCTAGCCAGATAATCATTTCTCAGATTTTGGATTTTATTTCTTCCCCTTTTCTGTGATAGGGTGCGAGAATGATAATATCAGTGAATGGGAAGAGAGAAAATGGTAGAATCCATTGTTTTACATGGAGCAGGTATGAAAAGAGCCATCTGACTTGAAAGGTCAGCATTATGCAAGAATGTCTTAAAGAATGTGGTTATTATTAAGTATAATATGCCTAACAGACTAAGAACTGTTATTGTTAATTAAAATAATGTTCCATACATGAAAAATTAGAATTTGAAGAAGACTTTAATCACATCATTATGCATTATAAAACAAAGAAATTCCTTTACTTATGCAAGACCCAGAAGTTAGAGGGACTCTCATTTTAGGTGCCTTTGGGTTGAAAAAATTACTAATTTCATACCAAATGTCCCTTGGAAATTCGAAGAGAATTTTTTTTTTTCCTAATGAGGACGAATATAGATGATTTTAATTAGTTGACTCTGGATGAGTCGTTTTTAATCCTCCCAGCCTAACTCTAGCGAGGAGCACGTACTAGCAGGTGTCTTTCTTATTCCAGGAAAGCATTCGAGACCGCTGTTAATGGGACATATGTTATAGACAGGTTTGCACTGACACAGAAATCCACACTTTGGCAAGAGTGCAGCCAGTTGGTGAGCTGCTGTGACCTAGGACCCCTTGTGGCCAGAGAGTGGGACCAAGCTAAATACCCCGCCGTAAAGGAACGGAAATCGGAGGCTGGCCTCAGCGGAGTGTAAACCAATCAGCTCCACCACCCTCCCGGGCCACAGAATGAATGACTGCTGCTTCATTCAGCTGCCTGCCTGGCCTCAAGCAGGGTGCATATTGTCAAAACTCCCTGCGAGGGGCGCCTGGGTGGCTCAGTCGTTCAGCGTCTGCCTTCTGCTTGGGTCATGGTCCCCCGGTCCTGGAATCGAGCCCTACATTGGGCTCCCTGCTCAGGGGGGAAGCCTGCTTCTCCCTCTTGCTCTCCCTCTCCCCCGGCTTGTCTTCCCTCTCTCGCTGTGTCTCTCTGTCAAATGAATAAATGAAATCTTAAAAAAAAATACTAAAACTCCCTGTGAAGCGCAGACCCACGTCCATCCCTTTTCCCTGTGGGCCCTCCACCCGGCAATCTCCTACCCATTCTTCCAGGCCCAGCTCAGGCATCACCTCCCGGGTGGGGGTGGGGGGGGTGCTATTTTCTTACTGGTTCTGTAAACACACGCACCCTGCGGTGGAGGCTGGTCTGTTTATATGCCCGGCCCTCCCTTGAACCTTGACTACTAACTGCAAGGGCTGACAGTGCCCCTCATGCTCGCTCACTGCCCGACCCAAATAGTAACTCACTGACTGTTGCTGAAACAAAGAAGGAATTACTCAGCAAAGCCATGATCCTTAAAAAACAAAACAAAACAAACCTCAATGTGATATTAATAATACCGGACTCACAGCCTTAAAATTTTGCAGTCTCCCTATGACATTTGGCCTCATTTAAACTTTTCCTAAAATAACATCATCAATTTGGAGTCATAAAAAGTAAGAGGAACAGAGAAAAGTGGCAGAAAGATGAATGAAGATTAAGGAAAGGATGATGCCGGAGAGGACAGGTATAGGACAGAGTTCATAGCTCAGCATGTCCCACGGGCACATGGGGAGAAACATTCCCCATTTCAGGATCTTGGTTTGGTACATATACTTGGGCAACAGTGTATCCCCCCCACTCAAGGGGATACCGCGCCTTATGTCTTGGGGGAAGCGCAACCACCAGGTTTCCCTTTCCCTGAGCCCCAGACTCACCTGTGTCATGGGGGCAGGGGGGCTCTGCAGGATGGTCTGCGGCAGGAGCTGCTGTGTGAGGTCACAGGACGACGGGGCCGGCAGGGGAGCCTGAGGAAGAGAGGGGGGCTTTGTTCACAAACACCACTTCTGGGCCATTCCCGAGGTCCTTGGGCGCTCTCGATCAGCTGGGTTCTCTGGCTTAAAGGAGGCCCTCTGCATTAGCGTGAAGAGCTCACTTCTAGAAGGTAGGCTATGCTGTTGCCCTTGCAGGACACGGAGTCACAGCCGACACACGGCTGGTGAAGGGTACAGCGTGATCTTGAGCAAGGTCCTGGAGTCCCTCGGGATGGGGAGGCCACGGTGTGCCCTGTGAAGCCGCTGCGATGTGCCGGAGCTTGGCAGCTCGGCTCCAATCCCCTCCCTTGCCTTCTGTTCTAGGCTCCATTCTTGGTGGATTGGCTTGCTCTTTTCCCAAACTGATAAATTCTTAGCAGCGTCATGGAGCCGTATGAATGGGGCTGGGCTAATAACCGGTGTTGGCTTTGTGTGCGGTCCTTATGCTTTCTGTTCAACACTCAGGCAGACAGATGTACATTAGTGCCCCGCATTTCTATATCCATTCATTCCTCCAGGCAGTGAATACTGGTGCAATTTCACCAGACTCTGCCTGGGATCCGCTCGAGAGACTCCTGGGAAGTCATAGACTTTGTCTCCTGATCACTCAGGACAGGGCAGGGGGACGGTGGCGAGACAATGCGTAGAAACAAGAAATGAAACACTTCACCTTCATGGGCTCATGAGAGTTTTAAAAAGAAAAGTCCAAGGATTCTTCTGAAGTTATTCCCAAACTGTCCTCAGGCGCTAGGGACCATAGAAAGCAGCCCAAATGGGAAGTGTCACCCAGGACAACATTGGGAGGAAGTGACAACAGGAGGTCTGGTTTTGAGTGAGAAATCCCAGGCACAGGGCCACCCAGAGCCTGGGTTGGAGTCTCCCGATTGCGTCTCCAGCACTGCAGGGAGGGACCAGGACTGCACCTCCATCAATGGCAGAAAACTGTTTTACTGGACAGCCAAGTGCTAGAAGAATGGCATTCATGGTCTTTGTCATGTTTGATTTGAAAATAAAACTCATCACCCAAGATTTTCAAGTAGGGCGTGTATAACTTTCATGGAGACGGCAAGCAGGAAGGTGGCATGTTCCCTCCCATTCCCAAAATGTCAGTGAGGGATGGGTATGAGGTAGTTGGCAATGACCTGGATGTGGCCCCTGAAATTCCTGGACACTTCTCCCATCCTGAGGTGGAGGTCTATGTCCATCTCTGTGGGTGAGCTACGACTGCTCGGACCAAGAGGAATGGCAGAGGAGGCACGGTGGGACTCCCAAGGCTAGGTCATAGAAAGCCATGCAGCTTCTGCCCGGCTCTCACGGAAAGCCCCCTCCAGACATTTTTTCTTGGAACCCAGTTGCCGTGCTGGGAGCAGCTCTGCTCTAAGGCAGGGAGAGGCCCGTGTAAGTCCAGGGTGGATGGTCTCGGGTGGGCCCAGCCGTCAGTCAGCCCAGCTCAGCCCGGGGTGGGGGTGGGGGTGCAGATGTGAGTGCAGATACACCTGGGATGTGAATTCCCCATTCCCCTGGTGAGGCCTCCAACACCAGACAGCAGAGACAAGTCAGCCCCACTGTGCTCGTTTTGAATCCCGTGAATGTGAGAAAGGACTCTTGCTTTACACCCCTCAGTTTGAGGCGATCCCTTACGAGGCAACTGATAACCAGAGAATTGTACATCAGTGATTTTGCATATAGCCAGCATGCTTTCTAAAAGGCCACTCATTCCCTGACCTTCTGGAGAGGTCTGGTGTAGATCAGAGACACTGCCTGATATATGCAGAGGGACATTTTTGTTGACACAGACTTCTCAAACATTTCCGCTGGCGTGAAACAGTACCCACAATGGAAGGGTCCTGTGTACCCTCAGAGACTCTGGGGGTGTGACCCCTGGTTTGAGGTTTCCAGCTTAATCTTTAAATCTCATTTGGATTTTGCATTCTTTGACTATACATCCCTGCTGATTTTGGAGGAAAAACGTTTCCAATTAGTTGCTAATTAAATGACCTGGCTTCCGACCCCTGCCCGCCACCCCACACTCTCAATGTCCAGGTACAGTTGGTTCTCTGGGAAGATGCAGCACGCTGTCCTGGGGTCTAGCCAGCCCCGCCACACTGGGGCACCCCTGGCTGAGAAGTTTCAAGTCACCCACATACCGGCATGGAGGCTGCCTGGCTGAGCCCTGGCACAGGGAGCTCTTGGGGCAGGGTGGCCGATCTGGGTAAAGCCGTGGTGCTGGTCTCTGCCATCAGCTTGCTTGGAGTGGCTGTAAGAAAGCAACCAGTCACCTTCCCGATCCACACATACTTAACAGTTTTCTTATCAAAGCAGGGGAACAATGGCTATGGTGTACATTAGACAAGCGCCTGGTTGGGATCACTGACAAAAGAAAAGTCCAGCAAGTTCTCTCAGCTTCTAACCTCACCTGGGAGCAGGCAGATGAGAGCAAACCAAGCCCACGCTTCATGTCCACCGCCTGGTTCAGCCACCTGCCTGATCTCACACCTCACCAGAAATCATTAAAGCCCAGCCGGACTATAGGGTCTGTGTGTCACCTGCTTTATGTCTGCTCGGGAGTGGAGGGGAGGGCAGGAAGCCCATGGGAAAGGGAGCAAGAATGAGTGCGAACAGGAAGGCAGCTCCCACTCCGTAGCCATGGGCTGCCCTGATTCTGCTCAGGCCTGGGACCCTTCACAGGGCTCCATGCCCCCACCACCTGGGCCCCACATGGGGCAACCACCCCCTCGCCATCCGTGGCAGCTCACTCACAGGTGGGTTCTGACATAGCCGTGTGCGAGGATTTGTGGGAGCTTCTGGAGGACGCTGATGGTGAGTGACTGGTGTTAAGGCCCAGGGTGCCCACGTCAAGTGCGTTAAAGTGCTGCTGAGGGTCCAGGCTGGAGCCCTTGTCCTGAAATACACACACACACACACACACACACAATCCACACAATTTCAGCATCAAGATGGTGGGAATGAATGACATGACTTTAGCTCTCCTCTAACTATATGGAAAAATTGGGAGGGTGTAGGGAGAAAGATGGGAACCGTTTGGAAATAAGTCCTGACATATTTGGGTAGAATATTTGTACATATATATAACCTAGGTGTCATTGAGAGGCTTGTGGCCCTTATATAAGCAGGATCTGTTATGCTTTCTCACCTTGGACTTTGATTTTTTAGATTTTCATAACTGATGTTACATTTTATTTTTTCCTTAAAACTGTCATCTCACTGCCCAGAATCTTGGCTTTTCCAGAAGGGGAGAAGAGGCAAGTTCTAGAAATGAGGTTGCTGGTGTACCGGATTGTTAACACTCTGATGAAACCAATGCCTTTGGACCCTTCGAAGCACATCCCACACGGTCTCCCTACTGCTTCTCCTCTGAGCCTCAGGGCCCCAGAGTACAGAACAGGCAAAGGGCCAATGATCTTCCATCCACTGATTCTTGGATCCTAACTGATCCTGGATCCCAGGATGCCCCCGCTTCAAGTATTGTGTGATGAGAAAGCAACTGTGCCCTTCCAACCCTGAGAAGCCATCTTTCCACCCTCCATGGCTTAGTGTCCTAAGTGTAAGACAATAGGCATTAGGATAATTTTTAAGCTAAAGAAGAAGCATAATGCCGGCTCTCCTGAGCCATGCTCCTATCCACTCATAGGAGGATGGTGACATTCCTGCCATCCCTAGGCTGTTTGGATAGGCTCTTCTATGTCCCATGGTCTCAGGTCTTAAATCTCTGGGTGAGTCTATGTGGCTATTCTGTCTTTTGAGTTATGGCTCCAGAGAGGGTGGATACTGTGTGTGCTGGAGTAGGGGGCTGAGATGACTGATACGGTCCAATGTGCCTGGATTTGCTGTGCTGAATGTCAACTCAGAGACTCCGCTGCTTAGTCAGAGTCTCCCCTAGATACACCCCTCGGAGTGGGGGCCCTGGCCCATGGCTATTGTGTGCTCCTAGTCAGCAGAGAAATATGGACAGGCAGTGAGAGTAAGCACTGACTTTTCTAGCCATCTGACAGAGCTGCACGTCACACCCAAGCATGGGAATTTGCATTTTACAAAAGCACTGGTCAGTGACAGATTTGAAATTAAACAGAGTCCATTACCACTAATAGTTTGAAAAGCACTGTCCCAGAGCTTTTCCTTTAAAAGGGGCAGCCCTCGCCTGGGTGGCTCAGATGGTTGAGCGTCTGCCTTCAGCTCAGGTCATGATCTCAGGGTCCTGGGATCGAGTCCCGCATCAGGCTCCCTGCTTGGCGGGGAGCCTGCTTCTCCCTCTCCCCCTACTGTTCCCCCTGCTTGTGCTCTCTCACTCTTTCTGTCAAATAAATAAATAAAATCTTAAAAAAAAAATAAAAACAAAAAAAATAAATAAAAGGGGCAGCCCGAGATTGTGTTTGTGTGTTTATACATATGTGCATGTTTATGAGAAGTTCCACTGGGTTCTAGGATGCCCAAAGGGTCAGAAACCTCAAGAACGAATCTCTAACTGGATGATGCACAACATGACGCACATGTTCATGAGCCGTGATGTATGGGGTGTCTAACACCTGCCTACCAACAGCTTAATTCTGTTCTCGAACATGATACATGATGCGCTATATGACAGAGCTGGGTCATAAACACGTCCAGAAATAAGGACAGGTGTGCCGTATCAGTGCGCTGGTGATGGATCGCCCCACGACACGTTGCCGTATAGCATGACAGCAGGGGAGGCTCGCCCAGGACACTGATGGCTCTCTGCGCTTTCCAGGTGATTCCTGCTTCCCTCCAACTCATGGACCAGAGATGCTTTCATTGTATTATTGCTGCTGAGGCAGCTTCTGGCCAATCTCTGGATTCTAGGTCGCTGGGCAGCCTGGAACTTAAACCACGTGTCACCCATGGTAAGATACACTTTCCCCCCTACATTCTGACATATCTGAAATTGGGACGTGTCTTCTGACTGATGAAAAGAAGTCCTTATTTCACATATAGACTGGCGACAACATTTTCTCTTTCTTATTGGGAGATATATAAGGGTGGATCTTATAACAGATAGCTTCTTGGCTTTGATAAAATACAATGCTCCCTCCCTTCCTTGTTTTCTCTCCTTTTCTCCCAACATGTGTGTCTGCTTGAAGAATGACCTTTGAGGAACAGGGCTCTGGTCTGCTTGCACGTTTCCCTCCAGCTGTCCAGGAGCAGAGATGGGGGAAGCCTGGCTAGAGGGGACCTGAGAACCGTGTGCGGAGGAAGGATGGAGGTAAGGCTTTGTGAAGGGAAACACCCTCGCCAGCAGAGCTCCCTGACATGAAGCTGGCTCCAACATGGCTGTTACCTAAGACCTGCAGACACAGAAGTAGGAAGTGCACCTTGCTATTGACAACATGGAGGCTGTGTGAGGGGCAGTCTCCTCGTGGGAGGCCCAGGCCCTAGAGGCAGGGCATCAGCACTTAGGCTACGGGAAGGAAAGGGCACCCAAATTATTCCACACCTCAATAGGATGACGGAATAAGCCCCTAGCTATTTATCTGTGGGAGGAGATACAAAGTGGATTTATTATTGCTGCTCTTGTAAGGATGGAAAGTTGCCAGATCATGCTTTGAGTCCAGAGGCTGTTTCTTACACAGTTCCGTGAGTTCTCACCCTCAGCGCCCTTGGGTATGTGAGCTAAAGCCTGTGTGTGCCTCTGTACCTCGTCTGAAGGACGAGGATAGTAACGGCGCCTGCCTCGCAGGAATATCATGATGGTAATCAAGTGAACACCCACGGAACGCACTGAATAGTACTGGGAACATAGCAAATAAAAATATTACTACTTTTATTATAACAACTCATGGAAGAACTTACTTAGGCAAACTTAGCCTTTAGCCATCTGGTGGGGATCAGCGTACCTTTAGCGCTGAAGGGTGGACGGCCTCGGGTGGCGGGTCTTCCAAAGCCAGTTCCTGCCTCCTTTCTACCCGGACATCCGCATAACTGATCAGGAAATCAAGAGATCACAGCAGGAGGTGGGACGTTCCAGAAGGCAGCAGCAAAGAGCACGTGTGTGATACATCGAGGGACCCCCGTGACACCCACCCCAGAATCGTCACCACGAAGGAGGCTAGTCTTGTCACTTGTTTGAGGAAGGAGCTTCATTCTGTGCCTAACTGCCGCTGGGGTGACTTCTAATGGGACATCCCAAATATTTTCCTTTCCAGGGTGTTTTTATGCCCTTCTCCTTTACGCATCTTCTCCCCATGCCCTGAAACTTCCAAGCATAATTGTCTTTAGAAACCTATTTTCATCTACAGGATAAGCCTTGGCCTTTGAATAATCAGAAGCCTTTCTTAAAACCTACCCAGTCTGGACTGTGTGTATGGAGAACTGACAAATGACTTTTTTTTTTAGTAATTGCAACCTTTGGAAGTTTTCTCTCAAACAAATCTAGATCTAGACCCAGAGCACTGATTTGTCTGTGGGCCCACTTTTAAAATAGCGTGGGGAAATGAATCCAATGTGGAGATGGCCAAAGGGCCCCCAGCTCTGGCCTCTGACTATGTGTGGAGGAACAAGCTGGGCGAGGGACCCTGGGAAGTCACAGTGGCTCTGGGGCCTCTGGAATGCTTGTTAGCTTATTTACTAACTAGTTCACTCCCTACTTTCTCTGAGAGTTGCTTTCCAAGATTTGGGAGGTAGAGGATGGAGAGGAAGAGCGGGGTCAAGGGCGGAGTCTGAAGACCAAGATGTTGATGATGTCCAGACTTCCCTGGGGCCAAAAGGACCCTGTGGCAAAGGCCCAGCCTGGGTGGTGGTAGCTGGGACTGGCCTGTCCTCAGAAACCACTGGCTGCTGAAGTGCCCAAGGGTGGGCCGAGAAGCTAAGATCAAGTCCCTAAGAGCGGCATGCAATGTGACGGTCAGGGTCACTGGCAAGAAAGACCAGCATTTCTCCCTGCTTATTAAAAGAAGAGAGATTTACTCATTGACTGTATGTATGCGTGTGTGTGTGCATGTATGTATGCATGGTATCTACCCATTTATCGGTCTACCCACCTGCCTACTTGTTACCTATCAATCATCTATCTCTTATGTATATATATAAAATGCAGTATATATGTATAGTATCCATATGTACGTATATCTACCTATCATCCATCTACCTATCTACAATGTATATATACATATATACCTACTATATATATATATACATGTAAAACCTTTCTTTGTTCTGCTCAAATGCTCTTCTCTAGACCTGTTTAAAACTGATTGATGTCCTTAAAATTTCTGTAGTCAGGGGAAAAAAACCCCACGAATGACATTTCTCCTCTACCTTTGGGAATCGTGGCCTTACAGAGCCTGCGTCTAAGAAAGGCTGGATTCGTGGCCTCCCTCGGAAGCTCTGCCCACCCACCCTCGGCTGGGGGCTCTCCGAGGCCACCAGGAACCACCAGGAAGCCTCTCCCCTGGCAGTCGGGTTCTATTCCCAACGCTGTCTCAGTTGCCAGCAGGGGCTTTTAATGCATTAAAAATAGAGGGGACTAGGTCTATGAGTGATTTAGAGGCAAAATTTTAATTTTCTTCTCCAAACAGTGACAAGGGAAGGTGGGGAGGTGAATGGAGATGAAGGGAAAATGTGGAAGAAGGTCAATGAAGCAATAACTCACGAAGTCACATCCCGGCACCCTACGGAAGGGCTGAACCGAATCCTCAGCCCGGCGGGGGGTGTGGGGGGTGGGGGGGTGGGAACAGAGTTGTGTGTGTCCCTGGAAAGAAGCTGAGCTCTGGAGACTACTCTGTGAACCGCAGAGGATAGCTCAGGCCCTGTGGAGGAATTCAAGCCCAGGGCTCGCTTGCTCTTCGGACCCTGAGACTACCTGCCCGCCCTCTGAGCCCAGCCCGCACCTGACGACCGAGTGCGTGCACACGATGAACTCGGGCTTGGAGTTCCACTGGTGGTATGTGATGTAGTAGTGAGTCTGCAGCCAAATCCACTGCTGGCCTTTGGTCAGAAACCGGTAGCAACAGGACTTCCCTTTACCAAACTGCATCACTGTAGGCAGAAAACAGAGGCTGCATGTAGCGAACGCTGATACGAGAATGATCTCTCCCCCAGAAGGTGCTGTTGAAAACAGAAGCTTTCAGATACACCATGCCAAACAGTGTGCACTTCTCCAGGTGTGCTGTATTTTAAGTGACTATCAAGATCCCGCTAAACGATATTGAATTCTTAAATAAGGGAAGAACAATCTGCACGCTTCCCCAAATGCTCAACGGCTTAAGAGAGCCTCAGGTAAGGGCAGATTTCCCAAACTACAAAGAGGCCCGGGGTTGCCTGCTTCAGGAGGAGCTGTCTTTGGGGCTGTGGGAGCCGAGCACAGGAGAGACGATCAGACGCTGGGAGAACTGGGCCCCAAATAGACCTGACAGCCTGCAATCTCTGCATGGGATTCGGGGGCTGTCAGTCAGCAGTTCATGCTTCGTCTACACGGTCCTAAATGAGAGAGTCGCCTACGGGTGCCTTCCAGCTCAGGCCCCACTGCCACAGGGCTGTGTGGAGCCCTCTAGGGTTAAGTCTGTTGGTGAGCTTCTCTCTGTGTGTGTGTGGGGGGGTCCAGAACAGAATGGGTGCTGTTGTATTAGCCTGCATGGGGCAGAAGGCTGGGACTGTGGGTCTAGGGAAGAAGAACAGTTTGCGTCACTGCCTCAGTGCCTGGGATTTAGCACCTCATTCTGCAAACAGATAACAGGTATCTTGACTGGGAAACTAAAGTGAAGACGGGAGCCACTGCCTTGGAGAATGTGATCTCCCAAGAGGTAGGAAGCCCAGCTGAGCAAGGGCGTGGGCTGCACAGAGGGAGAACGTCTTGCCTGAGCCCTGGGCCAAATCCTTCAGATCATGAAGGTAATTCTACCCCCAGGGTGGCCTTGCCCCGTTAGAAGGGTCAGAAGCAGCCAGGGCTCGAGGTAACCCTGCTTCTCAAACTTTCACGGGCCCACGAATCACTTGGGGGGGGGGGGTCTTGTTAAAATGGACGCTCTGATTCCACAGGCCTAGCGGGAAAGCCCGAGAATCTGCAAGGCTAGCGGACTCGGTGCGATGCCCTTGCCGCTGCGTGAGGAGCACACTTTGAGGAGCAAGGGGTTCAAGTTGTAAAGATTAGCCTCAGATTCTAACGGAGGATCCTGACGGAACTCGAGCCTATTCTTCCTTTGACTAGGAGAGCGGAGAAGAGACCGTTACAACGGGCGTTACAGACAGCATGTCTATCAAAACACAGTGTTGGTGGTCAATTCGCGTGTCAGGATCCAGAAGTCGGGATGACGAAAAATGTTCCTGTTTAAAGCTAGAACTTGGCACAGAAAATATGGCTTTCCAAGGTTAATTCTTGACGACTCTTGCTAAGTGAGAATCCAGATATGCTGGTCATTCTCCCCCACGCCCCCCACATCATGAGTCCTACTTCCCCTACCTTTGCCCCCCCTATTGTCCTCTTCTGTGGCAGAGAGCCTTCCTTGATCCCCTCCCCCAGCTGGGGGAGCCCCCCAGTACCCTGAGCACATCCCCTCCAGTGCGGTGACAGCATCCTATAATGTCACCTATTTCTGCTTTCCCCTTCGACCTTGCTCCTGCAGAACAGCAAGGAGATTCTGATCATCTTTATGTCCTGGGCCTCGCTCAGTACCTGGCCCGTAGCTTGTGACCAATTCTATGTCTGTTGGCAAAAAGCAGTGATGTTGAATTCAGTATTTTGTCTTTGAAATGTATTGCATAACTTAGAAAAAATGACCATCGTTGTCTTATTTTCTTAAGTCAGATGAAAATAGCTTGTATATCTGAAGGGTACGGGAAGGAGCTGGGAGGGGGGTGGAGGAGGCGGGGGAGGTGGGAGGAGGCGGGGGAGGTGGGAGGAGGCAGAGAAAGTCCATTCCAGCTGGAAACACAACCCAGGGGCAAACCACAAAAGGTCCTCCACCACACTCCTACATCATTTCAGAGAAAATAAAGTCTTCCTCCTCAAACAGAAACCAAGCAATAAACAGACTTCCAGGGCCCAAGAGTCGTGCTGTCCGGGCTCCGTGGAGGGTGCTGGAGGCCTTCTGGCTGGATGTCGAGTACTCACAGTGTTGGTGGCACCTGGCCAGGAGCTCCAGATCGTCAATGTGGTAGTAGTCATAGCCCGACGTCCCCAAAACTTCGAAAGGCAGGTATCCTATGATCGGAGGGGCTCTGCCAAGCAATAGGGACAGTTCGTCAGAGAGCAAGCACCCTGCCCCACTCACAATGGCAATAGCTCCATCCAGAGGGGGGACGGTTTGCACATTTAATGATCAACACAGAGCCTCATTTCTCAAGAGCCAGGGCAGGAAAATAATTTTGCAATGGTTCAAACCGAGAGGGTGTGTTTTCCAAAGTGCTCAAACTTTCTGGCATTTAGATACTCGGTTTCGTTGGCATAACCTGGGTTAAATAATAATAAACTTTATTATTACCGAATAATTAAAAACAGCTATAGATTGGGTCAGTCCAACCCCAAAGCATAAAAAAAGTTAAAGGGTGGGGAGGGGAGATTTCTCATCCTTCGACTGCGAAAGCTGTTACAGAAGAAAGAAGATTGAATTAAAGGGACAAAAAGGTGTTGAGAGAAATAAGACGAAGAGTTTCTCTCCCATCTGCTCCTGGCTTCCTGGGAGCTGGAGAGGGTCCTGAGGGGTGGGTGTGGGGGTGAGGGTATCCCAAGGATGTCCCCGGGCTGTGGCAACTGGCTCTCCCGAGATGCTCTGACCCAAACACAGAACATATCCACGGACAACTGCAGTGGAAGGGAAGCCGCCTCACTCTTGGCTGGGAATGATTTTTCCTGCTGCCAGAAAGCCCTTCTCCCTGAAGGGACTAGGCCCGACTTTTCTCTCCCAAGGAGAGCCTGGCTCATGCAAACAAACACTTGAAAAGGACCCAACCCAAACATGTTTTTCTTTTCACAAACCTGTGATCCAGAAATAAAAATTTCCATTCCAAGCTATGCCTTGAAGTGAATTCCTCTAAGGGTTCGTCAACTATGCACATTTCCTGTATTAGAAGGGGAAAAAAAATGTTGCTCAGGGTGGCAGATGCTCACCCTAGGTTTGTTCAAGAACGCGTGGTAGGATAACAGAAGTTAAAATCATTGAGAGCAAGTCTCCAAGTTGGGTTGGACTGAAACTCATCATCTGTAGCTAATTTCAGTATTAGCTGATACTAAATTTATTTCACAAGCTGGGGAAAAATACCTAAGAGCCAAAATGTCATACCACTCCCTTCCCATTATCTAGAAGTGTGGTAAACATGTGGAAAATGGCTTTTCATCTGAATTTGAATGACTAACTTAACTCAACATTCATGCCATGGGTGTTAAAGCAATCACAGATGAGAGAATACAGACAAGCCCTTGGTTTTGATACTGGGTCCTCACCTCGGCCTGCCCTGAGTGGTATTAACGTCCCCAGCGAAAGGTCGGAGGGTCGACAGAGTTGCAAATGAGTCTCTCTGCAGGCTGAGCAGCAGCTGAGGCTGCCTTCCAGCCAAACAGCTCGCAGGAAACCAGAGTTAAGGCAAGGGGCAGGTGGGGCTGTCACAGGTATAGAAGCCAGCCATTCCAACTTTTCGAAGTCAGTGACAGCGTCATTGCAATCCTATTCTTTCCCATAAAGACGGCTAATGAACTATAACCAAACGTGACTCAGTTGTACTAGTTCCACATGATAAATTCTCTCCCGGTACTTGCCTTTAAGAATTGGGGTGTTGCCAGGCGCACGGTGGCGATGAAGCAGACCTCCTTCCCGAGCGGCACCCGGCAGGGCCTTGAAAGGGTGCTGTCGAAGCCGTTACAAGAGGGGCTAGGCACTGGGGCGGGAGGGGACAGACAGACGGGTTAGGCCTGGGAAGCACAGCGGCAGACCCCTACCTGGCCTCACCGTCAGCCTGCACCAGTGCTCAGGGCTTCGAGAACATTCACTCACTTTCTTCGTGCCCTGGGACACCTCGCTCAGGTAGGGGCTATGACCCTCCCTGCGCAGGAAGTGGGAGGCACGGGCTGCTGAGGTTACTTGCACCCGGCAGAAGGGAGCTGGAATCCAAGTAGCCGGCAGACTCCCCCGCCTCTCATCTCCAGAAGTCCTCTGGCCGCCTAGACTGTTGCGCTGGGAAAAATGTTCTACAAAAGGAGAGACAGCCTCACTCCGCAGTAAGGGCCTGCACTCTCACTTCAGGGCGGGTTCCACAGTCAGACGTGGTTTCTGATCTGATGGGTCCCCTGGCATTCGCTGACAACCCCCCCTTCCCACCCCTGGTCCTGGCACCACACACCTGGGATTCGAGGGATCCCCCCCTGAAAGCCCATGCCGGGAGCCAGGCTGATGCTGGGCTTGGCGGGTGTGACTGAGGACGTGGCCTCAGGCTCCAGGGGGATCCCCAGAGGCACACGGTGTCCACCACAAACCTGCTAGTTTGTGTAGCTATGCACAGGGGACACACCTGTTCACAAGTGTCTTCTTCTTCTCACTGGGAAGGCATGACTTTCCTCAGTCTACGGATGAGGCCGTGGAGGCCCAGAAAGCTCACATGTATTAACCAAGGTCGCTCAGAGTAGTAATAATGGAGCAAGGACTCGAGCCAGGTCTTCCGACTCTGAGCCTGGAGTTCTCCCAGGGCAGAGAGGGGATTGTTCAAGGCTCGCGCCCACCACGGGGCTGAGAACAGGCCCCCGCACGCCCTCTGGGGAGGTGCGAGCTGGTACCAGCCGCCATCTTCCCTGGGAGCTACAGATCTGTCTTCACGGTGATTGTGGTGAACTGTTTTACCTTTTGGGCCAGAGGACAATTCTGCTATTTTAGGTGGAGTATGCTGGCTGGGAAAAAGAACCCGTTAAATAGGAGAAAAGTCGGTGGACCATGTATATGGGATTCTCGAACCTGGCTACACACCAGATTCCCTGGGACCTCTTCCGTGGCCTCCCAGCTGTCCAGACCCTGTTCCCAGCTCTGCTAATTCAGGAACTCTGGGTGGGAAGCCCAGGCACTCTCAATTTTAAAAGCACCCCCGCCGCCCCCCCCGCCCCCCCCGCTGCAACATTTAGTACCATGCAGCCAGGATTGAGGATCATTACGCTAGATAATCTACCCTACCTCTTTCTTTTTCAAATGTAGTTGATTATATCCTGAACCAGATCCTGAATTCTAAGTACATTTCTGAACTGGTAGATTTAAACATAGTTGTGTTTTCCAATTTGAGAACATATAAAGCAACAGAAAATGAAATGCATTCTAAAATGAATCTGCAAGACTTTCTTTGGATTTTAGCTTTCCAATAATTTTTGTTTTATATGTTCGTAGGTTTCTAAGTGATTCTATAATGTGGTCTTCTAGCCACTAACATGAATAAATTCATTTTACCAAACATATTCTCTGAATGCATTCACATACATATTAATATGAATGTTTCCGAACATGAATATGAAGGGGGCAAAGTAGGAAATGGTGGTCCCTAGAGAATTTACATCTGTCATTAGTTGGCTTAGACCACTGCAGATTAATGTGTAGGGTGAGCCAAGGCACTCAAGCAGGGAAGAGAAAGCAATCTCACAGGGGAAGGGTCTGCAGATGTGAACATCTGCATAATAAAAAAAAGACATTAACACATTTCCCAGATGTGAAATATCCTCTCTGCTTGAAGCTAAGAGACATCACCTGCCAGATAAAGACCTAGTAAAATTCTCCCTACTCTTTCAGAAAATCTAGGCTTTCTAAGCAAATTTCCGAGGACTTCCAGGGAATTTTAAGAGACGGTCTCTCTCATTTGTCTCTAAACCATGTGCCTTGCTGGAATGATCCACGGGCTCTGTCAGTAAGTGCCTTCATCAGTGATTTACGGTGAGGAAGGCAGGGGAACGGAAAGAGCGTGGGGTAGGGAAACCCCAGCCCCTAACAATTTCTTCAAGGGGCAGAGACCATGGAAATTAAGTGAATGTTCTGCAGAGCTTACTGCTGGCCTGGCTGCCTCTCAGTGCAATTTTATCAGTCCTTTTGGAACTGCTAAGGTTTTAAAGATGAAAATGCTCCCCGCAGGGGAAATTTCATTATTGCTTACAGCCTGTGCTCGAGAAGCTAGATACTTTACAGAGGGCTCCAGAACCAAGCAAACTCCTCTTCTAAATGAGCTTTCTCCCCCGAAACCTGAAGCAGCTGAGGGCTTGATCAAAGGTGACGGTAAATCAAGGGTGAAAGTTTTAACAGAGGCCAAGGGGAAAACCTTGGGGGGAAGTCAAGGGGAAGAAGATACTTGAAACATTTTGCCAGCTATGTTTCAAGTGACTTTTATTCACAGCAGGAGCCTCCTAGCAGATTCCAGAGTCAACACAGGAGCAAACTGCTCCCTGGGACTTCATGGTAATATTTAGCACTTAGAATAACTTCTCTGGCACTTCGTATCCCAAAGTAGTTAAAAAACGTTAATTAAGGATTTAATTAGTTGTTTCAATTTAAGTAATAGAAAAAACATATCTAATTACAGCAGGCTTCCCGAGCCTCCTGGAAGGATTACCCCGTCGATGCCGGCGCAGCCCTATTCATCAGCCTTCTCCTTGCTTCCGCCACTCCAAGACACACGCACACACACACACAGAGCACTCACGCCACAGATAAAAGCAGTGATTACTTGCTACATTTTTTGCCCCGAGGGTCATCTTACTTGAAATTGATCTTCTCTTGCCCAGAGCTAAAGAGATGGGTTTCCCCTATGGCAGGAACTGGGTCTAGTTCTCTGTCCCCCGCCCTGAGCAGGCGTCTTGCACACAGCAGGTGCTCCACATGTGTTTGTTGAATGTGTCTCCGACGAGATGACCTTCCATCGCACATCCAGACCACAGCTTAAGACCTGGCTAGGGGAAGGCACCTTCTGATCCCAGCCAGCAACTGACGCACAGGCCTTGAGACCCCACAGTGGCTCCGCCTTGTGTGGCCCAGCCTGGTGCTGCTGGAGGCTGGCTCACCTTGGGAGGGTGCCCGTGGAGCATGGTCCTGGGTCCCACTGGCCCTCGGGCTAGCTCACCCACTACTAGTGCATTTGTAAATGGTCAGAAGGTCCCGGGCAAGGTCTGCTGCAAATCAGCAACAGCAGTCCCCGCTCTGAGGGGGCCTCACGCTTGGAAAGATGCAAGAGGGTGTTCTGCTTTTGGTCTTCCTACTACTAAAGGGGTCCATGGGGGGATTAAGCCCCTCTTTGCTCCTGAACTTTCATCACAGCCTCTAATTTTAGAGACCCTGGAAGAATTTTGCCCTGGGCGGGCACGCCCTAGGGATTCTGGCCACAAGAGAGCCCCAAGGTTCTCGAGAGAATAAGGGTGATTAAAGTCCTTCTCGCTTGGCACCTGGGGTTGGCTTCCAAGTCTGTCTGATGACAATGGTGACCTCCCAAGTCAGTCATAAGAACATAAGGATGACCGAGCAGGCAGGGCGGTCTCGGGTGGCATGAGACGTGTGTACAAAGGGGTAGAAAAGAACGGGGAAGAAGCGGGGTGGGCATAGTGAACATAGTTCACAGCAAAGGAGCAGAAACAAATGGAAAAAGGGGTACCGACTGTTCCTTAGGACTGGTCCAGTCATCAGGCCTAAACTATTAAGTATTCTGATCAGAGATGGCCTGCTCATGATAAATTAGTTGCAACAACTGTAGGAAAACACACTAATCGTCCACATGGAGAGTGACAAATCGCTTTCTCAGCACTTCTCGGAACCAACGAAAATTCAAAGCCGAAAGGTGTCCACGAAGACGTGAAACAATCGGGAGGCTCACTAAAGGAAGAAAAAAGTTCTTAAATCTCATTTATGATAAATGTCCAAAACGTCTGGGTTAGAGTGTTGGACTGTTAAGGAATAATTTCTTGCACATTCACGAGAAATCCTCTCCCGCTCATTAAGCACTATTTTCAGGCTCTTCTCTCTTCTCTGCACAGCATGGCATGTTTCACCTGATGGGTTCTCGGGACAGCCGCAGCAAAATAATGCTGCCTGGTTTTTGGCCCCGGGGGGGAACTGCCTAACTTGCCGAGGCAATCAGTGCGTGGTTCGTGCTTTCTTTCTGCCAGTGCTGTTTGGCATCGGAAAGAAAGAACGAGCTTGGAGAGAAGCTGGGAGCCATACGAGAAAGCTAGGGGTTTGCAATTTGCTGGATTGAAAAAATGACTCCGACGGGAACATGTATGTCTCACTTAAATATTTCTCCTTTCCCTCGGTGTTCATTAATTAAAATGAGTATTTTTCGGGGCCAGGAGGTTGTCATGGTATTGACAAGATATCCACCAGATGGTTGGCGTGGACGTAGGCTCAGGGAAGTGAACTTCACACAGGCTGTCGCCCCCTGTCCTCCAAGTGGACGCCTTGTGCACACTTTTATCACAATGACTGCACACATCTACAGAAGTGCCCCTGCTCCCAGGCTGAAGCAAGCAGGAGGACGTGTCTGATAAATGTCTGACCATTCCTCACTGCTCCATTTCAATATGGGCTCTAGATGCTCAAGCAGGATGATGCCCTGGGGTAACAATTTGTTCTTTATCGCGATCTTAATTCCTCTGCGACCTAATCTGGCAGCAATGTCCACTGCCAGAGAAGAATGTGGCACTTCCTTGCTGGGGTGGAGGGGACACTCTGCTTCTTGCCTCTTGGGGGCCTGTGCCAGATGGAAGAGACATTCCTTCCTGTGCTCAGCTCACGTCTCCATTCTCAGTGAGGTCTGGTGGGTGTGGCTTTGTTCCCCTAACTGAGAAATCTCAATTCAGCTCAGGGAAACAAAAAACAAAACCCCCAAAGCCCTAAAATGAGGCAACCTACAGAAATCCCACGGAACAT